GGGTGGAAGGCCCAGGGCAGCCCAGCGTCCAGGGCCCGAGCAGCACGAGTCCTCCTGACCCGCCCCTGCACTGCCCTGGCTTCAGGGCCACGACCACAGGGGTGGCTCCGACTGCACCAGGATCCAGGTTAGAGCAGGCCCTTGGGGCACAGGGGGACAGGAGGGCTGTCCCTAGTTCCCTCCCGCTCCGCGTGCCCAGACACCCTGGACTCTGGACGCGTCCGCAGTGTGACTGTCCTCCTCTGGTCCACCTGGAACAGGCTGGGACCTCATCTCCGTGGCGGCTGCCAGGCTGGGTCCCCTAGCCCAGCCCCCGCCCGCGGGCGTCCTCTGTTCTGACGCCGGCGCCACCCTCCTTCCCAGCACAGGCTCTGGGACACCATCCTCTCTCCAGGCTCCCATCCACACCGCCCTGCTGCGGTGCTTCTGCGTCCCTCCTCTCCCCCAGTGGCCGTGGCGTGGCCGTGGCGAGGGCTAACACGTGCTAAGGCCACATCCAGGGCTCTGGCCCAGTTCAGGCCACTCTCAACAGCAGCCAAGCCCCCTCCCTCCCTGCAGGGTGCACGAGAGCGGAGCCTGCACTTGAACCTGGTCCGTGGCAGCGACCAGCAGTCCTTCAGAGCAGAGCGAGTCTCAGCCCACACGCGGGCAATTGCACAGGCATGCAGACACGCGTGTGCGTTCAGCCATGCCAGCACACCTGTGCCCCAGTGCCTCCCGGAGCTGCCGCCCAGCTGCCTGCCAGGACTGCCCCGAGGCCCAGCGGGGCATGGGGGCTCGCCTGTGGTGGCTGCACACCGCGCTCAGCTCAGGATCCCCCACAGGAGCCCGGCTGCGGGCACCCAGGACACCGCCTCACCCTGCCTGAGACCCCGGCCTCGGCTGCTGCCCCTGCTGGACTTCCAGCTCCCAGCAACCCCTCCTCTCCCTGAGCTCAGGCCCTGCTGCTCCTGAGGGGACGCTGTTGGCCACGCCGGTACCACCATGGCAAGCAGCCTTGGCTGTGGCCCGGGGCACCCCGTGTGCAGCCTGGACGTCCCAGTGCCGCAAGCTCCGACCCTGTGCACGTGCCCAGCCCCTGCACTTGCTCCCACGTCTGCTGATGGATTTGGGGGTGTCTCACCTGTGCCTGGAGCTAAGGCACCCGACCCCCAGCAGGCCCTCTGTGGCCTCAGTGCCTTAGACCCCAGCGGGCCAAAGCAGAGCAGGCTGAGCCGCCGCTGCCTCCGTGTCTCTGAAGGGCAAGCAGCTTCCGCACAGCTCCAGCTACAAGTCCCCGTTCCTGCCTGGGCTGTTCCGCAACCCCGCGGGCCATCGGCTTCCCCGCCTGAGAGGCACAGGACTTAGCCCACGGACAAACACCATGCCTTCCAGGTGTGGGCTGGATCCGGCCTCGTGTGGCGTCCGGGCAGCCGGATGCTCCGTCAGCAGTGACCTGTGGAGCTCTGGGCCCAAGTGACAGGACAGGAGTCATACATGCAGGCTCCTGGGCCCACACAGCTCCACCGCACAGGGCAGCAAGGCCAGGCGGAGCTGCAGGAAGCCCGGCCCGGCCACGCCGGCGCGAGAGGCCCCACGTCCCACACCCGCTTCTGGCAGGTGGGATGGCTGCCGAGGCTGTGCGGGTAACCAGGCTGGGTCGGTCGGGGGCGTGAGGACCGGCGCAGCGGGCTCCGTGACTGCGCTGGCAGAGTGTGCTGGGGTGGTGCCCCGAGAACCTCGGGATGTGACGCTGGGGAAGAGAGTTTGCGGCTGTCATGGAGTTCAGGGTCCTGAGCTGGGGCGATGACCCTCTTAGAATGACCAACCGGGCCCTAAACCCAGCGGCTGGACACGAATTCAGCCAAGAGTCTGCGGGAGGAGGCAGGCTGGAGTGGTCCAGTCACGGCAGGAAGAGCCCCAGCCAAAGGCGCCCCGACCTGGGGCTCCCAGGAGGAGACGAGAGGTCAGCTCTGCGGGCAGCCCAGGGCTCTGCGTCGGGAGCGGCACACCTGTGCTACAAAGGTCACTCCCGGGAAACCAGCAGGCGCCTTCCTGAGCTGTGGGTTCCCGGGCAGAGGCGTGTCCAGGCCAGCCAGGGCTCAGGGTGGGGGTGAGGGTGCTGAGGGCGCCCCAGTGCCCGGGACAAGCCGCTCCTCCCCTTCCCAAAGGATCCAGAACTTTCCTGCTTCGGAAACTGGCTGCCACCACCGGCTGCAGCCTCGCTGGGGCACCGTTGCCGGTGCGTGGAGCGCGGGTACAGGTTCTAGAAGATAAGTGGAAGACGCGACTGGGCAGACGAGGAGTGTGGGCCAGGGCGACGTTTTCACAGCCAGCGCCCAGCCTCGGGCTGAACCTGAGCCCCAGGGAGCCGGGCAGCCTCCCCGCTGCCTGCTGGCCGATGCCTGGGACCCGCCTGGCCTCTGGGCCGCGGAACTTTCTGGGAGAATCAGGCAGGCGTGAGGCTGTGGCGGTCTGGTGTGGAAGCAGACCCGGAGGGAATCCGAGGAAGCCAGGCAATGGGGTGTGAATCTGCCCCCGCCCCAAGGCTCAAATCCGTCCTTTCCTGTGGGCTGTGGGATGCCAGCACCCACCTCCCCCTGTGACCTTTGCCCTGCCGGGGGGGGGGGAGCGTCCTGCAGCTCTCACAGACCAGCAAAGCTGGAAGGGCGCTACCCTGAGCCCAGCCCGGAACCGTCTGGAGCAGCTCCGACTGACGGCTGCGAGCCCTGCGACCCGCCGGCTTCGGGAAGACCTTCGCGGGCTGGGCGGGCAGCAGGCGCCACAGGCACTCGGCGGGGAGGGGGGAGCTGCGGGACGCCGCCCGCTTTGGCCCCGCGGGGAGCGGCCTCGGGCGGGGGTCGTCACGGCGGTCCCCGCGCCTCCGCCCTCTCCCGGAGGCCGTGGCCGCGCTCGGCTTCCTCCACGCGCGTCTCGCGGGGCCCCGCACTCCGGGAGCGCCCAGCCCCCGCGTACGCGACCTCAACGCACCCCCTCTCGCCGGGCACCCGCGCAGCCTCCCTGTCGCGGGTTCCCACGCCGCCCGCCGAGCCGGCCTTATAAGGCAGAGGCGGTGCCTCCCCGCGCTCCGCGCTCCTGCGGGGCGGGGCCTGGCGGGGCGCGGCCTGGCGGGGCGGGGCGGGGCCTGCGGAGCCGGCCGGCGAGAGGCCGGGGCCGGGGCGGGGCCTCGGCAGGGGGCGGGCTCCAGGGGCGGGGGCGCGGTCGGGGGGCGGGGCCGGGCCGCGCGCGTGCGAGTCGCGGAGGCGCCGGCGCTGCCGTCACCGCGTCCCGAGCTGAGCCGCCGGGCTGCGGGCTGCGGGCTGCCCAGGCCGCTCCCGGGGGCGCGCAGGGGCGCCGAGGCCTGGAGATTTGGGAGGTGCGGGCCATAGCGGGCCCGGAAGGAGCCGAACCCTCGGGAACGCCCCCCGGGTCGCGGCGGCGAGCACAGGTGCGCGCAGGTAAGCGAGGCGCGGGCGCCCTGCTGCAGGAGCCCTGGGTTCCAGGTTTCCCGCGCGCGAGCGAGGGCTTCGCGCTGTCCCCGCTGGGCTGGGGCCGGTCCAGACCCTGAGGACGAGCGGCACCCCCCGCGGGATCTGCGCGCGGTGCCCCTAGGGCCCGGGCCGCCTGGCCCTCGCCGGTGACCTGGGCTCCTTGTGTCCCGAGGCGGCTTCGGGCGTGCGGCGGAGAAGCCCGGGCCGCCGCCCGAGGCCTCCCTGGGCTGCCGCGCCGCCGGGCCCCGCGCGCGCCCCGGGAAGGGCTCGGTGCGGCCGGGTCCCCGGAGGTCGGCGGGGGCGGGCGGCTCTCCAGCGGGGCTGCCGCACGCAGGTGTTTGCGCCGCAGCGCGAGGCCGTTCGTGCGCATTGTGGGAAACGCGCGCGACCCAGGCGACGCTCACGGAGAAAATTAAAGGCCCCGTCACCGCAGAGGCCCGTGCGCCGCCCGCAAGAGAGGCCGACAATTAAAAGCTTCCTCCGGAGAGGCGGCGCCAGCCCGGGCGGGGCCTGGTCCCAGCCGCCGAGCGGCCGCAGCTGTGGCGCACCGCAGACCTGGGCGCCGCAGGGAGGTGTCCGGCCCTGCGCCCCGCGGAGGCGCTCCTCGCGCCGCCTGCAGCCGGGAGCCCGCAGAGCCCAGCCAGCCCGCCCGGGACCCCCAACCCTCACCCAGGCAGGTGCCGCCCCGGGGCAGGAAAATCCACACCCGCCCTGGGGAGAGGGGCTTCCTGGAGGAAGGGGTGGAGCTGCGCCCGGGGCCCAGCCCAGCAGGGGCTCGGACTTGGCCTCCTGAGGACAGCAGCTGCCTCTGTGAGAGGGGCCCCCGCGTCCCTGCGCCCCAGCTCCCGGCCCCTCTGCAGGGGGGCCTCCGCTGCAGCCAGGCTCTGGGCAGGGCTGGAGCCCCGGGGAGCGCACAGCAGCTGTGCCCGGTGTGTTTCTTGGGGCTCAGGGCTGATCCGCCGTGACCCCGACTGTGAGCTGTATCGAATGTCTGCACGTCCCGGCCGGCCCGCTTTCCCAGGGGAGGAACTGGAGCGGCTTCCAAGGGAGTCTAAGACGTCTGTGCCTTCCGGGCCACTGGCTTTTCCTCCGATTGGATTTGTGAAGGGGGAGGGGAGGTGTGCCTGTGCCGAGCCTGGAGCGAGGACACCTGGGCCCCCCTCGCCTCCGGAGTCTCCGCTTCCAGGCTGATAAGAAGCGGGGCTCCCCCTCCGGCCCCCGCAGCCTGCACACTTCCTGCCGTCCCAGGCCCCTGGTCCAGGGCTGTGCGGCTGGGGAATGGGGTCCGGCCCCTCAGGCGCTGGTGCCCACCTTGAGTCCTGGGTGGCGGCCGTCTCCCTGGGCGTCCGGGTCCAGCTGGGTTTCTGTCCCTGGAGCCAGGATGGGGCAGGGGGGCGGAGGGTCCTGCTAACCACGACGGTCTCACCGCCTTTCGGGCTTCCCCGTGGCCGCTGTTTGGTGTTTGTTTGTTTGTTTTCACTTACTTGAGAAGCATAGCAACAGAGAGAGAATGGGAGAGGGAGGGAGGGAGCTTCCCTCACTGGGTCACTCCTCAGAGGCAGTCAGGGCTGGGCCTGGCTGGACCCAGGAGCTCGGAACTCCATCTGGGGCTCCCACGGGGGACCCCGGCCACGCCTGCCGCCTCCCGGGGCCTTGGCAGAGCGCTGGGTCAGTCATGGAGCCGGACGGGGACCAGTGGGGCCGTGGGCTGGGATGCAGGTGTCCCGAGGGGCTGCCTGCCCAGCGGCACCACACCCCCCCTTGGCTGGGTCTCAGCCTTGACACGTGAGACGGTGCTGCTGTCCCCGGAGCTGGCTTTGTGCGGTTCTGCACCCGGTTCCCGCGGCCGCTGGCTGGTCCCTTTCTTGGCACTGATGGGTGGAGCTGCTGGCTGTTGGGGTGCAGGGCCCGGGGCCGTGTGTCCCCAGTGAGAGGCTGTGCCCAGCTCCTCCCGGGGGACTGTGCTCCCTCTGTGCCCTGTCACACGCTGCTTCTAACAGGCCACCGGGCAGGGTCTCACGCCATCCGCCTGTCCCCCTTTCCCCACCCCGAGGCGCCGCCTCCTTTAAGCTTCCGCTGAGCCCCCAGGGCCTCTGGAACACCCTCTGCCCGGCCCGGTCTCTGACCGCTGTGTCGCTTCCCTGAAGGGCACTGTCCCTTCCGTCCCTGCCGTCACACACGATGCACACCGGCCCGGAGCCTCAAAGTCCAGTGCTGGGATGTGGGCAGGGCCGCGCCACTCCCCGCTGCCCCCAGCCCCGCCCTGGCCCTGTGTGCCCTCTGCCCCGGGCCACCTGTGCACCTGTGGCAGAAAGCAACACCTGGAGCCAGGCGGGCCAGGTGTGGACATGGCCCCCGGCTGGGGTGCCCGGGGACAGCAGCTGGGCTGACATCGGGAGGGACCGGCCACCAGAAGGTTCCATGGTGTCCTCTGGCGAGAGGGTGAGCGTGAGGGCCTGGTTGCCCGCATGGCACCTGGGTGGGCGCCGGTGCTCTTTGCTGCTCGGGGCTGGTATGGGAGGACCCTCGATGCTGACTCTGACCGCGGGCCTCAGGCCGCCGACTCAGCTGGTTGCCATGTCCTCCACAGGTGAGCCTGGGAACCAGGCTGGCTACCGGGGAGAGCTCGGGGCTCAATCCCTCACCTCCAGCCCGCAGTGAGGAGCCGGCTGCTGACCCTGGCCGTGCATCCAGGACCCCGTGGTCGCCTCTGAAGCGACCGCGTTCTTGGGGCTCAGGCCGAGGGTCGGCAGGAGCAGCACCCTGGACGCAGGTCCTGGCAGGCCACGGCAGGCCACAGCAGGCCACGGGCTCTGGCCAGGTCCCTGCAGTCCCCGTCTCCTCGACAGGCAGAGGCGGCGCCTCCTTGCCCAGGAATCCCCTCCGGGCCCCAGCGCTCTGTGCTTGCAGGGTGAAGGGCCCCGTGGGGTGACCCGGCTGTGGCTCGGGCTCTGGTCCTCGGGTGGCCGGGCAGCCCTGGTCACGCCTGCCCAAGGGCTGTGGCCTCTGTGATTGTGTCAGCGCAGGTGCCCAGGGCGATGGCGCCGCATCGCACGGCGGCCTGGGCTTCTACAGACACAGAAAATGCCAGCTTTGTGCTGCGCGGGGCAGCCAGCGGCCGCTCACACCGGGTGTCCCGGGGCGCGGGGTGGGGGCCGTCCCGCCCGGCTCTGAGCCGCTTTTGTTTCTCTGGGGCTGCAGCCCCGCCTCCCCCTGACGTTAGAAGGGCTGGGCCTCCCCTGGGGTCTGGGGTCTCCGAGTCCCAGGGGCCAGGACTGAGGAGGGAGGCCAGCGCCGAGGTGACGTCCGCTTCCGGCCCAGGCCTCCCTGGGTGCCCACAGCAGGCTCGGCTCTCACTCAGGTGGGTCGGGGGCTGTGCTCCGGGTTCTTCCAGGGGCTGTTCCTGTCCTGTCCCCTCTGCTCCCACGGCCAGGACCCCGCTCCCCTTCCTCTCCCTCAGCTCGGGGCTGTTGTGGGGTCAGGGCACTCACCCCCAGGGCCCGCGAGGTCTCCCTCAGCACCACCGTGGCCCCTGTGGCCCCTGCTGTGGCCCCAACACACCTGAGTGTAGGGACAGGGACGCAGGGGGCCCTGGCCACGCGGTACCCACCCCACAAGCCCCGCTGAGGCTGAGGGTTTGCAGGGGAGCGACGGAGGGGCTGAGAACTGGGGACCCCACTGGGAGCCCCCCACTTGCCTGGAGTGCCCCCTCTGACTCCTATGCTGCCTGAAGCCCCCTCCCTCCCCTACCCCCTGCCGACAGTGACTGTCAGTCAACCCAAGACACTGGTTCCTGCCGAAACCGGCCAGCCCCTGGCCCTGGCCCCCACCCCCAGCCCCCAGCCCCGAGAATGGAGAGAGAGGTTGGGGAGGGGTGCTTAGGGAGACCCTGGGTGCAGTCGGGCCATCCTGGGGTCTGGGCTGGGGCTTCGGGAGTTCAGAGCAGGGCAGCCGGCAGCCTGGCTCTACAGCCTTGGTCACCCCGGATCCCACTGACCTCTGGGCTGTTCTGGGGTGAGCGTGGTCCTGGCCACCCCCGGAGCCCTTGCTGCTATGTGGGGGCATGGGAGTGAGCAGCCTCCCTCCCCCTGGTGGGCTCATCCCACATGGGCACCAGGCAGGCAGTTCAGGACTGCGTCGTGCAGGGTTTCTCGGCCCCAGGGAGGGGCAGGGCTGCGGGGGGGGGGGCAGAGGGGGAGGGACACCTGGTCACCAAGAGGCAGGGGAGCTTGGGTAAGGCGCCTCAGGCTCAGGGCAGGTCCCACCCCAGGACAGGGGCCAGGAAGGCACCCAGGCTGCCTCTAGAGCAGCAGCTGGCCCCACTGGCCCCACACCAGTCCTCCCGAGGTCCCCGTCCTGTCCCTGTGGGTCTGTACCAGGTGTTCGGGGCCGGGAGGCCAGGGAGACTCATTCTGGGGCCCAGCTTCTGGGGGCAGGGGTGCCACCTGCGAAACTGCTCCCCAGGGCAGTGCCCCTCCTGGCCCTGATGGCTGTAATTCCACCCGGGCCTCTCCCGCCCTCCCCCAGGCCTCCTGGAACATGCAAATCAGGTAACTCAGAAGTCCCTGGTGGGGGCAGCCCAGAGTCCCTGCCTCCCCCGGCAGCAAAGTCTTCGTCCTGTGGCAAGGGGCCTCAGCTCCGGGGTCTGGGGCAGGAGCACAGACCCACTGTGGGCATGTGGGACACACACCTGGCGAGGGCAGGACCCCTCCTGGGAGTGGGGCCCCACAGCTAGAGGGGGCTCACTTTGCTGGTACAGGAGTGTGGAGGGGGCCGGGGGGGAGGGAGCACTCACTGTCCGTCAGAACGCTGTTTCTGTTTAAGCCCATTCTCCTCATGTCCACACGAGTGTAAGGAAGCTACACACGCACATGCACACACATGCGCAGATATGTGCACACACACGTGTAGACATGCACACACAGGTACAGACACACACGAGCAGATATGTGCACAGACATGCACACCTGTAGACATGTACACACAGGTGCATGCATAGGCACACATGCACACACATGAGCAGATACGTGTGCAGATGCACACACGTGTAGACATGCGCACACACATGAGCAGATACATGTGCAGATGCACACACCTGTAGACACGTGCGCACACATGAGCAGATAAGTGTGCAGATGCACACACCTGTAGACATGCACACACAGGTAGACACACACATGAGCAGATACGTGCACAGACATGCACACCTGTAGACACGTGCACACAGGTGCACGCACAGACACACATGCACACACATGAGCAGATACATGTGCAGACGCACACACCTGTAGACACGTGTGCACACATGAGCAGATACGTGTGCTGATGCACACACCTGTAGACATGTGCACACATGTGCAGATGCACACACCTGTAGACACGTGTGCACACATGAGCAGATACGTGTGCGGAAGCACACACCTGTAGACATGTGCACACATGTGCAGATGCACACATCTGTAGACACGTGTGCACACATGCATACACCTGAACAGACACACCTGTAGACACGTGCGCACACATAAGCAGATACGTGTGCTGATGCACACACCTGTAGACACGTGTGCACACATGAGCAGATACGTGTGCGGATGCACACACCTGTAGACACGTGCATATACGCATGGGGATGCACACACCTGTGGACACCGCGTGTATGCACAAGCACACATGCGCACACCCCCCAAGTGCCCTGGGCTGTGTCCTGTGTCCCACCGCGCCCTCCCCACAGCTCTGCTGGTCCCGAGCGCACAGCGGCCGGAGGCATTGTGTCCTCTTTGCTTAGTCCTCCCTGTGTTTGATTGAGGGATTGTTCACTCAGGGCAACAGAACCAGAGCTAGGACAGCTAGGACAGAGCTGGCCACCTCTGTGTCCCAGGACAGCCTCAGCACCACCCTGCGCACAGCCTGGGACCCAGGGCGCCTGTTGGCTCCTGCCGTGGAGCCTGGTCCTGTGGCCGTGGCCGTGCGGGATGTTCCAGGCCCAGGAGCGGAGCCCTCAGAACGCCTGCCAACTCTCGTTTTCCCAGACTGCCCTCCCAGGCCCGTGGTGGTCTGGGCAGCTGCTGGCCGTCTCCCCGGCTGGGTGGCAGCCAGGGGTCCTGTGCAGGCCCCTGTGGGCTGTGTCCCCGCGGGGCAGGGGCCGAGCCCCCGAGCCCTCACCCAGCAGACGTCCTCAGTGTCCAGCTGCAGGCGGTGGACGTGGGTGTGAAAGTGCCCAGTGGGAGGTGCTTCCCTTCAGGGCGTGGCCAGGGCCCTGGCCGTCCCTGCTCCCTCTGCAGACTGGCCCGTGTGTGGTCCCTCACTGGAGCTGTCCTTGTGCTTATGGCCTGGGTCCCCTTGCGTCCCCAAAAGGCAGGGCCTCCGTGGTCCTGTCCAGTCCTCCTGTTATAGCCTGCAGCAGTCTCGTCGCCAAGTGGGCGGGGCTGCGCACAGAGCACCTGCTGCTGGCTCAGAGTCCGAGCGAGGCAGGCCGGGGGTGGGGCCTGCTGTCCCCCTGGGCCCTGCCCCACCCCCAGGCGGGGGGGTGGGGCCTGCTGTCCCCCTAGGCCCTGCCCCACCCCCAGGCCGGGGGGTGGGGCCTGCTGTCCCCCTGGGCCCTGCCCCACCCCCAGGCGGGGGGTGGGGCCTGCTGTCCCCCTGGCCCTGCCCCACCCCCAGGCAGGGGGGGGGTAGGGCCTGCTGTCCCCCTGGGCCCTGCCCCACCCCCAGGCGGGGGGGTGGGGCCTGCTGTCCCCCTGGCCCTGCCCCACCCCCAGGCCGGGGGGTGGGGCCTGCTGTCCCCCTGGGCCCTGCCCCACCCCCAGGCGGGGGGTGGGGCCTGCTGTCCCCCTGGGCCCTGCCCCACCCCCAGGCGGGGGGTGGGGCCTGCTGTCCCCCTGGCCCTGCCCCACCCCCAGGCAGGGGGGGGTGGGGCCTGCTGTCCCCCTGGCCCCACCGGCCACCTGCCACCCGCTGTGGGGTCTGGGGGTTGAGGTACAAAGCTTTCTTTTAAAAAATGCTTGTGAGCCACAAGGAGCTTCTGTCTGCTGGTTCACTCCCCAGATGCCCACAGCTCCACCCAGCGCTCCCATGGGCGACAGGGGCCCAGGTCCTCGTCAGGCCCAGGTCAGCCACTGCCTCCCAGGCTGTGCGGCAGCAGGAAGCCGGGCGGGAAGTGGGGCTGGTACTCGTGCATCAAACGCCGCAGTGCAGTCCCTGACTTGCTGGAGGCCACCTCACACTTTCTGTGCCACTCCTGGGAAGGGGGCTGGGTGGGGCCGGGCCCCCCTCCCCCAGGGTGGTGCTGGCTGTGTGTGGACTGTGCACACCACAGGTCCCCAAGAGGAGGGCTGTGCTGTGGCCAGAACCCGGCTTCCCAGGGCTGTGGGCACCCTTCGAGGACCTCAGGAGCCCTGGGAAGCCCCACCCTGGGGGCCGAACTGGCCAGGCCTGTTGAGTCTGGCTGGCTGGCCATGGGGGCAGGGGACTGTGTAGTCAGACGTGGCTACATGCATCCCCGAGGCCCTGGTGAGCCCAGCTGGAGCAGCATGGCCCTCTTAGTCCTGTGGGGACGGCCACTTCCAAGTCCACAGAGAGCTGTCCACTGCACACACTGGGCTCTAGGACAACCCACATGGGGGCCACTTCCCCTCCCAGCACATGGCTCAGTGCTGAGGGTGAGAGTGGCCATGGCCCCTCCCCGAGAAGGCCGCCTTGGGAACGTGGCGGAGCGGGAGTGGCTTTGGGGGCCCCGTGGCTGCAGGCACAGGATCTGCTGTCGCCAGCATGCCGAGGTGCTGGGAGGGACAGCGCCCCGCTGTCTAGCAGCCTGGCTCCGGGTTACAGCCTGCAGCCCCGCAGTGCAGGGCGCTGGGACTCACGTCTCCTCTCTCCTCCCCAGCATCATGGCTGACAGCAAGGCCAAGGCAGCCAAAGCCGCCAACAAGACACCCCCCAAGTCCCCAGGGGACCCCACAAAGGACAAGGCAGCCAAGAGGCTGTCTCTGGAGTCTGACGGTGGCCCTGAGGGGGCGGCTGCCGCAGCCCCAGAGCTCAGCGCCCTGGAGGAAGCCTTCCGCCGGTTTGCGGTCCATGGGGACACCAGGGCCACCGGGAAGGAGATGCACGGCAAGAACTGGTCCAAGCTGTGCCGGGACTGCCAGGTGATTGACGGGAAGAACGTGACGGTCACCGACGTGGACATCGTCTTCAGCAAGATCAAGTGAGTGTGCGCGTGCTGTGTCCCAGCCCGGCGGCTCTCAGGGCCCAGGCCCACTCCCGAGCCCCCTGGCTGGGTTGGCTTGGCCTGAGCTGGCCCAGAAGTCAGGCTCAGAGAGGCTGTGGAGCTCCCGGGGCATTCTGGACTTACTGGGCTGTATGCTAAGCCACAGTGCCCGCCAGGATAGCACGTGCCCACCCTGGCCCCTGCACCCCAGGCCTCCGTTGCAGAGCAGAGCCCTGGTGTGCACCTGCAGGCTCGGCGGGGATGGCGTGCACGGCGCGTACACGCCTTCTCCTCGATTCCATGCAGTTCCCGGAGGCCCTGCACCCCTCCCTCCCGTCACCCCAGCATCCCCGAGGCTCAAGGACGTTCTCCCTGCCTGCCTTGATGCCCTCACACCTGAGAACAGTGACGCTGTCCCCGCTGTCCCCGCTGCCCTGCCCAATGGCTCTTCCAGCCCGTTTGTGCCCGTCTCGGCCCGGGTATGTGGCATGCTCTGTGGGCGTGGCCTCCAGCTGTCACACAGGCACCCCAGGTGCCACGCCTCCTCGCTGCCCTGCCCACCCTGATGCCGAGGGGCAGCCATCACTGTGGTGGGCCAGGGTGACCGAGCACTGGCCAGGGAGGGGCCGCCTGTCCTCTGGGAAGCGGAGAGGCCCTGGGGGAGGAGGCTGGGCCCACACGAGCCTGGACGCCCGTGCACTGCGGGCAGAGGGGGTCTTGGGATTGGGAAGCTGTGCTTGGGGATGGTACCAGCAGCCTCTCTTCTGTGCTCCCGGCTGGGCCCACGTGACCAGAGCACTGCCCTGGTCCTGGTGCCGAGTTCTCACTGGGCCAAGGGGATGTGTGCCGCCTCGTGGGGTGGGCGGGGCCCCATTAACACCGCCCAGGCAGAGCAGGCCCTTGCCCCCAGGTGGCCTCGCAAGGGGTGGCCCGGGCCCTCTGCTGACCCCAGCCTTGAACATCCTGGGTCCTGCAGCTGCTCCTGTGGCTGCAGTGGGTGTGGGCTGGACCCAGCCTCTCCCTGCACCCCTGGGCGTGGCTTCCCTTGATTGACAGTGCAGCCAGGACAGCAGCAGATGTGGGAGCCTGGGCCTGGGAGCAGAGGCGGGCAAGACTGGCTCAGGCCGGGCCAGACACCACCCCCCGCTGTCAGGGTGCTGTTCCTCCTGCAGAGTGGCCTTCCAGCCGCCACCCCCCCACACACGTGTGCGACGTGTGTTCTCACCTGGTTCCCTGGCGTGCTGGGACTCAGGGACCTGAGGCCGTGAGCTGTGTCTGAGCCGGGAGGGACCCAGGCCACGGCAGTCCGGGCATGCAGCCGGGCAGGCGCCTGGGCTGAGGGGACGCCGTGGACCGTGCTGTCCCCCTGCAGGTGCTGGCCTGGACCCGCCCGAGGGTCCTCCCGGCGTGCAGAAGGTTCCAGGAGGGAATGGGTGGGGTCCCGCAGGGAGGCGGCAGAGCTGCCAGGAAGGGCAGGGCTGTGCCTGTTCTGTCTTGGGGAAGGGTCGCTCAGGTACCTCCGGGAAGTCGCCAGCTGGGGAGAGAGACGCCAGCGTCTGTTTCCCAGTGGTTGCCGTGGCTGCGTGGGCCGCGTGCCAGCCGGGGCATCTGCGGCCTTTGTTGAGGCCCGGTCGCCATGGCCGCAGTTGCTTGTTTGGCTGTTACTATGCGCCGGGTTTCAAACACACTTCTCGCCGCTGAAGACCACTGCGGGCAGACCCCGCCCACACGCCCAGGCAGGGCTGCCGGGGATGCCACCTCTGTGTGCATGTGTGTGCATGTGTGTGCCTACCGGTCCCAGCCTGTGCCCCCGGATCCTGAGCAAGGGTCCGCGGCCTCGCCCTGGCCTGCAGGGGTGCAGGGGGAGAGCTAGGCGGGGTCTGTGCTCCAGGCCTGCTCTGCACCCACACACCGCCACCACCTCTGAACAAAGGCGCATGGGTGGGGGCCATCTGTGCCCAGGGGTGGACCGGAGGTCAGGAGAGCCCCTGCTGGGGTGTTGGGGGCAGCTCTGACATCTGCCTGTCTGAAAAAAGCCAGGCCCACCCCACCCCACCCCCACCCTCTACCCCCAGGCTCCACCTCTCGGCCACAAGCTGGCCTCAGACTCCAGGGTGCTGGGCGCTTCTCCTGGGCTGGAGTCCCGCTCCCGTTTCTCTGGGGCCCTCTAGTGGCCGCCCGGGGCAGCACTGAGAGGCCTGTGCCCGAGGACAGTGACCCAAGCCGCTGGACCTACCTCCAGCCAGAAGCCAGAGCCATTGGTCCAAGGTGGGCAGCAGAGACAGGGCAGCTCCTCGTCGTCCTCTGTCCCCAGCAGCCCCACACCTGTGCGGGATCCCAGCTTCCTGTGGGGCACCTCTGGCTCTCACGTCTGAGCGCCACAGCCTGGATGGGTTCCTGGGAGACCCACAGGACACTGATGGGGGGAGGGGGGCGGAGGCCCCAGGGGACCTGTGACCAGCACCTGCCTCCTGAACTGCTCTGGACACAGGCACCTGGGGCTCCCTCTCCCCGAGATCACGGGGTGCCCAGGGTCGGCCGGCTGCACAGTGTGCGGGAGAGCCAGTGTCCAGCCCCCCGCCCTGAGCGTGGCCTGCAGTGGAGGAGCCCTTGTGTCTCCCCTCCACCAGCCGTGCCGCACCCTGGTGCACAGCCTGGTGCTGCACTGTGGTCAGCAGGCTGGGGGCACAGCCAGGGAGTGCCTGTGAGGCCTGGGGCCTCGGGGCCACACCCCGAGCCTGGGAGGAAGGACGGCCCAGCTGATGCCAATCAAGGCCCAGCGCTCCGCAGACTCGGTGCCCCCAGGAAGCTACCAGCCTCCTGCGGCTCACGTTCTAGGATGCAGCAGGCACTCCCGCCGCCCAGGACAGAGGCACCTGCTCTCCGGCGGCCCGGCCTGACCCGTGGGCCCTGTCCTGCAGGGTGTGCAGGGGCCCCTCCTTGGCCCAGCCAGGCCCTCTCTGCCCTCCCCTCCCAATGCTACCAAAAGAACTCAGTTTAAAAAAGAAAAAAACCCAAATGTTCCAGGCATAGCTCCCACCACCGTAGGAGGTGTGAGATGTGAGACAAGACTCAAACACGTGCCTGACAGGGCTGCAGCCAGCTCTGTCCTGGCTCCAAGACCCGGGCGTGGGGTGCGTGAGCCCTCAGGTAGGGCGAACACAGGCACGGGGTGCGTGTGATCCCTGCAGGTAGGGGTGAGGACACGGGCGTGGGGGTGTGCGAGCCCTCCAGGTAGGGGTGAGGACACGGGTGTGGGGGGTGTGCGAGCCCTCCAGCTAGGGGTGAAGACACAGGCGTGGGGGTGTGCAAGCCCTCCAGGTAGGGGTGAGGACACAGGCGTGGGGTGTGCGATCCCTGCAGGTAGGGGTGAGGACACAGGCGTGGGGTGTGCGATCCCTGCAGGTAGGGGTGAGGACACAGGCGTGGGGTGTGCGATCCCTGCAGGTAGGGGTGAGGACACAGGCGTGGGGTGTGCGATCCCTGCAGGTAGGGGTGAGGACACAGGCGTGGGGGTGTGCGAGCCCTGCAGGTAGGGGTGAGGACACGGGCATGGGGGGTGTGCGAGCCCTCCAGGCAGCAGTTAGAGCAGTGTCCACGCTGGCCACTGCCTTGCCCCCTCACTGCCGAGTGGGCGGGTTCTAGAGCCCAGTGGTTGTCAGTGCAGCTGTGATGACCCCGGGCCCACACTTGGGTTTCTCTGGTCTGATCAGGCCTGGGGTGAGCCGTCTGTGGGCCAGACCCGCTGTGGACTTGGACTGTGTCCCTGGCACAGCCTCTGTGGCGAGGGTCTGGGCCCAGTATCCTGCTTCCCTGCTGCAGTATCAGGTGCTTCACCCCTTCCTTGTCTTCAGTCCTAACGGTGTCCCCCCCCACCCCGAGTTACACAGAGGAAGGCACAGACACGCACACACACACGCACCCATCCACCCACCTTCCATCCGCTGATTCATTCCCCAGATGGCCACAGTGGCCAGGCCAGGGCCAGGCCAGGCAGGAGCCAGGATCCTCATCAGGGTCTCCCACGTGGGTGCAGGGGCCCAAGCACTTGGGCCGTCTTCCCTGCTTTCCCAGGCCACAGCAGAGAGCTGGATCTGAAGTGGAGCAGCCAGGACTCGAACCAGCGCCCAGATGGGATTCAGACGTTGCAGGCCCCGGCTTTACCTGCTACATCACGATGCTGGTCCCCATAATTGTGTCTTAAGAGTGTGGTTTGTGACATTTTGAAGTCCAGTTCACTTGTTTTGACTGTGCGACTACTGTGTTGGTGTCATTTCTAAGAAATCTTTGCCTAACACCCAGTCAGAGGTTTCCTTCTGGGTGTCCTAGAACCTGCTTCAGGTTGTGGCTGGAGAGTGATCCAGCTGCTTCCGGATGGAGAGGCTGCCCAGGTGGGGTCCTGGGGCGCTCTAGACCTCTGGCCTTGCTCCACGGTGGCTCCTGCTTCTCAACACTGCTTTCCAGCTGGGTGCTCTGCTCAGGGGCTTCATGGAGACCTCTCTGGGGTTCCACTGAGGCAGCCATCTTTTGGCTGGGGCCACTCAGGACCCCGCACTTGCAGGGTTCAGCCATTTGGCTGTTAGTGGCCCGCTGGGCTCCCTGGAAAGTGCCGGAGCCCCCATCCGACTTGAGCCTCCTGCTCCGACAGTCTCTCCAGTTGAGACCGGCTGGGACAGATCCAATCAAAATAAAAACATGCTCCTCTAGTGCAGCTACCAAAGCCAAAGCAGCAGCTCAGCCCTCTGAAACGAGCAGGATGACCCCGGTGGGAGGACTGTGGGTGAAGTGCGAGCCAGCAGGCAGTGACAGGGGACACACAGCTCCATCCCGCCCAGCTGCTCCCAGCCCCAGCCCCCTGCAGGCCCCAGGCTGCTCTCACAGCAGCCCCTCGTACCGCTGACCCCAGCACTTGCCTGTGATCTCCCTGGGCCGCAGGGGCTCACCTCCCGCCCTGTCCCTACAGGGGGAAGGCCTGCAGGACCATCACCTTCGAGCAGTTCCAGGAGGCGCTGGAGGAGCTCGCCCGCAAGCGCTTCAAGGACAAGAGCGCCGAGGAGGCCGTGCGCGAGGTGCACCGGCTGGTGGAGGGCCGCGCGCCCATCATCTCGGGGGTCACGGTAAGGGGCGGGGCCGGGGCAGGACTTGGCGCACTGACAGTTTGGGCCCCAGGCCCAGTCCCCCAGGCCCACACCCTTTCTCCTCCTGTGTCTGCAGAAAGCTGTGTCATCGCCCACAGTGTCCCGGCTCACCGACACCACCAAGTTCACTGGCTCCCACAAGGAACGCTTCGACCAGTCGGGCAAGGGCAAAGGCAAGGCTGGCCGTGTGGACCTGGTGGATGAGTCAGGCTACGTGCCCGGCTACAAGCACGCGGGCACCTATGACCAGAAGGTGCAGGGGGGCAAGTAGTGCTCCGCGCCAGTGCCCGCAGCTCCGCAGGTGTCCTGGGAGCAGGACCGCGTCTCGTCACCCTTCATTACATTCCTGCGCTCGTCTGGGCACAGGGGCGCCTGGGGTGTAGCCCAGCACCCCATCTCACACCCTAGGCTCAGGCCCTCACTCACCAACCCTGCCTCCCTCGCCTCCCTCGCCCTGAGCTGGGAGCAGACAGCTGCTGCTCCTGGTGCCAGCACCCTGGCCACTTGGTCTGCAGGTAACGGCAGCGTTTCAAAGAGCCGGCGGGCGTGGGGACAAGAACGACACCCTACCAGAGGCCACACTGACCTCACTGCAGCGACCTTTCGGGAGCTGACGGGCTACAGCACAAGGGCATCAACCATGGACAAGATGTGGGCGGCGTCTGTGAGCCCGGGACACCGAGGGCTCCTCGTGCTCTCCAGGGCAGGGGCCACATGGCAGCTGTGCTGGTCGGCGGGGCACACACGTACACACGTGTTCACACGTGTGCACGTGCATGCCTATAGACCAGGTCTGCGCTGGGAGCAGCCACGGCACTCGCAGCTCCTGGAAAGTGAGACGAGGCGGCAGCCAGTGCAGCCCAGCGGCCGCCCACAGCGTGGAGCCCGTCCCTGCCTCGGGGTCTCTCTCTGAAGCCCCCTTGTGAGCAGCAGCTGCCTCTATCCTCTCTGGGATGTGTGCAGTGCAGGGCTCCGCACACGAGGAGGGCCCCGGGGCGGGCAGCACGGGCCACCCTGTCCCAGTGCCCCCACAGCAACTGTCCCTTTGCACGAACACGGCCTCAGCCTCACGTGTGCCCTGCTGGAGCTTGGGGAGGCCTCCCACGAGCCACGTGGCCACTGCTGACTGTCCAGGGCAGATGGCCATTCAGGGCAGGGCCCCGGGTTCCTGCACACGTGCCTGGCCCATAGCACAAGTCAACAGCGGAGCTACCCCCCTCACTGCCATAGTCCCCTTGACGGAGAGTGTGCCTGCGTGTGGCCACAGAGCCCTGGAAGGCTGAGCACAGCAGTCCTCTCTGGACAGGCGCAGTGGGCTGCTGGGCCCGGCAGGCGGCTCCCTGCTGAGGTGCGGCATCCCGGGCCTCCGGCTCCTCTTAGAGGCGATGCCTGGCTGCTCCCTGCCCTCCTGCCCTCCCTGAGACCTGCAGGTGGTCTGCGAGTACCCTGGGTGAACAGTGTTAATCATTCAGCCACGGCCTGAGGGAGCAAAAGGCCTTGTGCAGTGGCCACTGAATGTGGCTGCTCCCCCACCCTCGTCCACTGCCCTGCCCAGCATCCTGGTCCCAAGGCCGCTCTTCTCCTTCGCTTTTACTCCCGGGCAGTCTGCCCCCCATCACATCAAACAGTGGCACTGGAGGGTCCCCACCATGCAGCAGGAAGGGGTGCTCCCAGGGCCAGCTCCCTGGGGCATGTGAGGATGCTGGGTCCCAGCCGAGGAGCCCCCGCAGGGCACCCCACAGCTGGCTGGAGCAGGCTGAGCGGCAGGGCCGCCCACGTCAGGCCCTGATGGCAGCCTGAGCGCACCCCGATGGCTGTGGGTTCTGTGAGGGGAGCAGAGTGCTCCGTCAGCCCCCCTAGGCGTCCCCACCCCACACGCAGGCCACTCAGACACACATGGGCCAGGACAGGATGCGCCCCAGCCAGGCCCCCAACTCTGACTCCCAGACTCCCGTCAGTGTGCACTGTGCAGTCACCTGCCGCCTTGGTGTGTCAGTGTTACAAATGCACGAATGTGTGTGTGTGCGTGTGTGTGCGTGCGTGCAATGCCAAACAGCTCTACAAACCCTGGCCAAAACAGAATTACATGCAGCCCAGGAGACCGGGGCAGGTCTGTCAGGAGGGGACAGCCCTGTTCTCCAGGAGCCATGGTGCGGCAGGCGCTCCGGCACCCGGCGGTGAGGCAGGAGTCGCTGAGCGCGCGTTCTCCCAGAGCGCCTATTTATTTCTATTTATGGCACAGCGGGCAGTGTCGGCTGGGACAGCCACGTCTCAGCCCACAGCCAGGGCCTCACTTACACTGGAGCACTCTACCTTTTCTGTGTCCCGCTCTGAAGAGTTCCTCACAGCAAACGTGGGCGCATGGTACCCGCAGCCACCCCGTCTCCTCCCCACATGCCTGTGTGCCCCACCCCCGGGCCCAGGGGCTGCCAGCTCAGGGCACGCCGTGGGCTCTCCAGCTGCCTGGTTTTGAATTACTGGCACGCGGCCACAGTGTTTAGCTGCATTTGCACAACTGGAGTAGAGAGGGGTAACAGAAGTCACGGCCCCTGGCCCCCGCACCCAGAAAGCCTGCTGCCTAAGTTCATTTTCTGCCGCACCCCATGCCATGGGGGGTTCCCGGTCACCTGCTGACGACAGCTCAGAGCTACAGTGTCCTCCCAGCACTCATGACCAACTCCTGGACCCTGGTGGGGCAGGCTGGGAATACGACAGGCACTTAGCAATGCTTAAGTTAACTCCTCCTTCAGCCCTCTTAAAGACTAAACCACGGCAAGTGACAAAGACCCCTGCGCAACAGAACCTGAAAGGGAGTTGAAAGTGAGCGTATGCTACTGCTAGTCTGCACTAAGTTCTTTCTGAGAAAGGGAAGCAGAGTTTTATACATATATCAGCACTCTATTTTTGCACGGGTTTGTCAGCGCTGGGGAGCGCTGCGCACAGCACTGCAGCAGTGCGCTGGGCAGTGTGCGTGACAGGCACACCGCCACCAGGAGCGACTGGTGCAAGGCGTCGTGCCGCCTCTGGACGAGGGCCAGGGTCTCGCTTGCAGCCCTTCATGAAACAGCTCGTGTCTGCGCACACCGCTCGTGTCTGCTGTTGGTGTACTGTGTGTCAACGTGGTAAAGTGGTGAATTAAAGGTGTTACAGCCTGGCCTGTCTCCTCTGGAGCCTGCAGGACGGCGTGAGCGTGGCGTCTCCTCGGGGCTGGGGCTTGTCTTGGTCCTGGGGAGCCTAGTGCTGCCGGCTGCAGGCCCGAGTGCAGGAGGGGCGGAGGGACCAGCATCTGTCAGGCTCGACACCAGGTCTGGTTCAGGGGCAGCCCTGGGGGAGTCGGGGGAGCATGGGAGGGAGGAGGGGTCTTTAACTCACAGGAGGTAAGCCACACCGTGGACGACCACAGCAGTGCCCGGAACAGGGCAGTGTCATCAACAGGGGCAGGAAACCCCTTCCCAAGATGAGGATGAAATGAAGCCACTTTCAGACAGACAGGAAATGTGCCAACAGACGTGGACTCCCAGTGCGGTCGTGGCCCAGAGGAAATGGCTGGGAGTGCCGGGGGGGAGGGGACTCCTGGGCCCTGTCACTCACGTTCTCAGGAGGTGGGTGACAGCAGGATGGAAGAAACTCTCCTAATAAAGCAAAGCCAAGTGTACGGCTTGCACGCAGCAGAGAAGCACAGTGGAGTGGGAAGACCCGCGAGCAGCAGGACGGCACAGTGGGGCAGATCCAAAACACGGTCCAGGAGGGACAGCGCAGCCAGCACCATTTTCAGCCCAGGAAGTCCCTCACCTCAGCGTGCCTGGAAATACAAAGAAATGGAGACGCAGACACAGCCTGGCCTCTGAGGGGATGGGCTGAGCGAGACACTCAGAAGCCTGCTACCAAGGGGTGCGGGCGGGGAGCAGACGCCGTGAAGGGGTGGTGTGCTGAGGGATGGAGAGGCAGGCAAGGCGGGGAGCCGGGTCTGGGCCCGCCCAGTAGGTCCGTCTGGACATGGCTCAGCGAGGACCTCCCTGTGGGCAGGACCAGGCTAGGGCTGCCTGGTGTCCTCCGTGTGGGAGCAGCTAGAGGCTGGCCCACTCCCCGCCTCCAATGCCTGCCCCAGGCTGCTGGGCCTTGCCACACCTCTGCCAGAGACGAGACCTCAAATGCTGAAGCCATGAGACCACTGAAAGACCATGAAGCTCGTGCCAAAAACCTGCAAACTAGGCCATCCAGAGACACATACCTTGCAGGAACCAACTCCCGAGGACAGGGCCGGGCCGCGCAGCCACAGCGGAGGAGCCCCGGCAGCTCAGTGGCGACAGACTTCCTAAGCCGCTCCACCACGCTGGGGTCCACCGGGGGAACGGGCTCTGGACCTCGTGACGCAGCAACTGCGGCCACAGCTCCCCTGCACCGCACCCCAAATGGCCTCAGTTCCTGAGACTTTGGCTCAGGATTGGGCCAAGATACTGGGGCGGGGGGCTGGCATGTGGGGGACAGTGAGAGGGACTGGGGTAACTGACTTGTGTACAGTGAACCTGACCTTCACAACTCACAACCTATCCAGGCACAACACCGACACAGCAGCGTGGTCTCACGGCTGTGACGACAGAAGCAGCGTGCTCAGCACACGGCACTTCCGTGACCGAGGCGGGCAGTTCTGCAGCTTGAGCCCAGTTAGACCTCAGCATGGTCTGTATTTGAGCGGCCCCAAGCGGCTCAACACCCCAAGGGCGCAAACCCCAACAGCGGGGCTCAGCCCTCAAGACTGCCCCCCACCAACCCTAGATGTCCATCCCTGGGGTCAAAGAACTCCGAGATACACTGACTCACACTCACCAGTTTGTTACCAGGGATGCTACGAGGCGTGGGAGGCAGGAGCTTCCTGGCTCTCCCCTCACAGGACCTTCAGCCCCGCCCCTCCCTAGAGGTCGCCCCCCCCCCCAGGGGCTACCCCGTGGCTGCTGGCCAGGAGTGAGCTCATTGGAGGAGCCACAGCCAGGAACCCAGGTACCGATGAGCAGATCCCGCAGCTCCAGAGCAGCAGATAGGGACTGAAGATGCTTTACCCCAGGAGGCAGGCAGACTGGACCACACTGAAGTCACAGGTTTTTCTCGGGGCCAGCGCTGGGGACAGTAGGTTAAGCCTAAGCCTGCAGCACCAGCATCCCAAATGGGCACCAGTTTGGATCCCAGCTGCTCCATCTCCAATGCAGCTCCCTGCTAATGCACCTGGGAAAGCAGTGAAAGATGGCCCAGGTCCTTGGGCCCCTGAATCCACATGGGAGACCTGGAAGAAGCTCCTGGCTACGGGCTTCGGATCAGCTCACTTCCAGCTGCTGCAGCCATTTGGGGAGCGAACCAGTCGATGGAAGACCTCTTTCTGTCTGTAATTCTGCCTCTCAAATAAATCTTTTTTTTTTTTTTAAGATTTATTTATTTGAAAGAGTTTCTCAGAGAAGGAAAGGCAGAGAGAGAGAGAAAAAAAAAGAGAAAGAAAGAAAGAGAGAGAGAGAAAGAGAAAGAAGTCTTCCATCCAATGGTTCACTCCTCAATTGGCCACAACAGCCAAAGCTGTGCCGATCCGAAGCCTGGAGCTTCACTTGGGTCTCCCACGTGGGTGCAGGGGCCCAAGCACTTGGACCATCTTCCACTGCTTTGCCAGGCCATAGCAGAGAGCTGGATCGGAAGTGGGGCAGCCGGTGGCTTTACCTGCTACCCCACAGCGTCGGCACCCCAATAAAATTTTTTAAAATATTTTTCTTAATCAAAAGACACCATTAAAAATGGAGAGGAACACCCACAACACTGCTACTCAGAATTCTACAAATAACTGCTGCAAACAGGTAAGAACAATGCAGAGAAAAACAGGGGACCTTCAGGGCCACCCAGGGAGTTAAAGGCTCAGGGGTGCACACAGGAAGACGCCAGCTTTAGGACGACAACACGTGTCACTGTGCTGCTGAGGGTCACTCAGGCCTCGCACCAGGGTGGCACAGGAAGCCACGGGGGCATGCAGAGGACAAAGGGTGGTGACCCTGGGGATGGCCTGGGGGGGGGGGTGCAGAGACTGTGTCAGGTAAGGAATTTTAAGAAACGGTGGCTGAGGGGCCGGCACTGTGGCACAGTGAGTTAATGCCCTGGCCAGAAGCACCGGCATCCCATGTGGACACCGGTTCAAGACCTGGCTGTTCCATTTCCGATCCAGCTCTCTGTTGTGGCCTGGGAAAGCAGTGGAGATGGCCCAAGTGCTTGGGCCGCTGCACCCACATGAGAGACCTGGAAGAAGCTCCTGGCTCCTAACTTTGGATCGGCGCAGCTCCGGCTGTTGCGGCCAACTGGGGAGTGAACCATCGGATGGAAGACCTCTCTCTCTCTCTGCCTCTCCTCTCTCCATGTAACTCTTTCAAATAAATAAATAAATCTTAAAAATCAAACAAACAAACAGTGCTGAAACTACTCCACGATGCTCGACACAACCTGACAAGATGAACGTAACGGCTGTGTGGCGATCCTTTCCCACGAGCTTCAACACTAAAATCTCAGTACTTAGCTCAGCTGCCTGCCGACCACAGACCACCACCCTCACCCTGTGCGACACATCTTCCAGCCGAGTGACACCCACGGCGGCTTCTGGACATGGCCACCATCAGAGAAGCCCAGCTATGTCTTCCAAAACCAGAGACAGTGAGAGACAGCTCTTCCACCTGCTGGTTCAATCCTCACATGCCCTGGAGCGCTATCCAGGTTTCCCGCGTGGATGGCAGGGGCCAGAGTGCACCTGCTGCCTCCCAAGTGCAGGAGCAGGAACCTGGAATTGGGAGTGGAGCCGGGACATGCTTGCAGTCCCTCCCATGTGGGACAAGGGCGTCCCACCCAGTGTCTTAACAGCCAGGCCAAACTACCACGCCCCGCCCCCCACTTCCTCTTCTGAGGAAGACAGAGCTACTCCCATCTCGGAGCGCCACATGACTTTACACACCCGTGCCCTCACCCTCTCACACGTACACTCACCCTCACTTTCACACACATCCCTTCAGACTCACACCACCCAGTCTGATAGGCACCCTCACACATATACACACACTGTCAGCACCCTCACAGTCTCTCACATGCACACCCCCGCACACTCACACCCAGTCTTACACACATCTCAGTCTTACACACACATTCCCTCAGGTTCATACACACACCGTCACCCTCACACAGTCATATCCTCCATCTCACACCCTCAAAGATTCACACACACACACACCTCTTCTCAGGTTCATTCATCCTAATTAAACACTGCTTAAAAAACTTCTCGTTTTACCCATTAAAGCTTGTATTACCTGATATGGAGTTTCCAGTCTGAAAACCTAGTGCCATGTCCTTCACGCCGTATTTGCAGTACACGGTGAGCAAGAGGCGAGGCTGGACGAGGTCACACCACATGACGGCACTGCTGACCTTGCCCTCTCTCTAAGGGCCTTCATCAGGTCTTGGGACTGCTTTACGGCTGCTCAACTACCACACAGCTCACTTTATAAAACAATTCCATGTGAAGCTCATTATAATTCACAAAGAGCCATTAACAAGTTAATTTTCAGAACAACCTATTTATTAAAACAAGCAAAGGGCTGTCAACCCCATCATCTTAGGGTAGCATAGCGAGCTGAGCTCGAGGCCCTGGACACGCCGCAGGAATCAAATAGAATGAAACAGAAGCGAGAACGCTCACCAGGCGAAGGCGCCGAGGGCGGGCGCGAGGGCGCTGCAAACCGCCGGGGTCAGCAGGACTGGCGGCCGCCCGCGCTGCGCTGGGGGAACAGGGCCATGGTCTTCTTGAGCTCCTGGTAGCTCCAGTGCATCTGCTCCACCTCCGCCCGGTGCTGCGCCCGCGCCTGGCTCAGCTCCTCCAGGAGGTGCTCGTTGGTGCTGACCAGGGAGCTGGACAACGACAGTGAGGCGATGGCTGGACCCTTCCCAACACACACCATCCTCTGAGCAGCCCCTTGCCTGGCCCAGAGCCCACGGGCCAAGCTCTCTACCAAACCCAGGTCCCCCCACCCATCCCTGTGGCCCCCCACCTCTCCTCCCAGACCTGGCTCCGCACTGCACACCACCATGGCAGTAATGAATGCAGCAATGAAATGAAGGCCTCCGTGAACAGCCCCACAGGCACTGTGCCGTCCCCGTTCTCGAGAAGACAGACTCGGCAGTGTGGGCTTGTTCACACCCCACAGAGCTCACGAGGTTGTCTGACGGTTTTCACACCTGTCATTCAGAGCTTCAGAAACCGCAAGGCATTTTGACAACTTTGTCGTCTCCAACTCACTGTGGTGCCCAAGCAGCCGTGACCCACACACACCTGGGGCTGCACGAGCGTCAGACCAAGCAAGGCCACACTGACCTCTGCTCTCACCACAAAGACATCCACCCCTGACTGGGGCAGGAGGCCAAGCCCACGGGCTGCAGAGGGTCTGCACACAGCTGGTGCACAGCAAAGCCATGGAGGACCGAGAACGCAGCCACCCTGCCCTTCCCTGCCACAGAGGCCCGGCCTTGCCTGTCCCTGCCTGTGACTGTCAGAGCCTCCCTCCTCCTGTTCTTCCTCACCTGCTCTCAGCCCAGCTCCCCTGCCAGGCCACAATGGTCCACCGAGATCTGTGGCTTCAATCCCAAAGGGTCAGAGACCAGACCCAAACCCAGGGAAGGTGTGGCAGCCTCAGTGGGAGTGAGGAGGTGGGGAGAGCAGAGGACAAGAGGCACCGGGAGCACGGACCACAGGCCTGCCTTCCCCCCGAGGCCAGGGCTCACACAGCTGCACCCACAGGGCATCGAGCAACCCCTCTAGCCAGGCACCACCTCCCAGGGACCGACCTCTCTGGACCCACCCCCAGCTGCTCTGGGAGTGCAGGCTCTGCCTGGACACTCCACTCTCGGGCCCTCTCCCCTCCCAGCACATGGCCAAGGGTACAGGTGGCCTCCCACAAACCACAGCGAGGGCAGCACACAGGCCTCAGAGACACGGCACAGGGGACCAGGACACAGTGCCCGGTCCTCTGTCCCTCTCCTTGTCTGTACCTCACAGTCACGCACAGTCCCAACCCACCCCTCCCGCGGCCCCTCTCCTCGGCGCCCCGCCCCCGCAGTGCCCACTGACCTGTGGCTCTCCTGCAGCATGCGCGTGAGCTCCTGGATCTGGTCGTAGTGCTCCAGGTGCTGCTTCAGCTCCACCACCTCGTCCGAGAGCCTCTTCACACTTGACTGCAGCCCTGCGGCAGGAGGAGAACGCGGTCATCCCCACGGCTGCCCCAGTTCTAGCTCACAGGTGAGACAACGGGCACTCCTGCCCCACACCACAGACAACGCCGGCTTCCAGCTGGGCCCACCCTGGCTCCCTCCTTGGGGCTAGGGCTGGGGCTGGGGCTGGGGCTGCCTGCCCTCAAAGGCAGGGCTTCCCTCCTCCAGGGGGCTGACCCTGCCAGTGAGGAGGGCCTGGACTGGGAGGCAGGCAAGACAGGCCGCAGAGCCAGAGCACATGGCGCTGCCACTGCACTTACTTACTGGCTCCCCAGGTTAGAAAACAAGACACAAGCCAGCCCACATGTAGACACGCAACTGCAAAACCACAGGGCACCGGAGATGCAAAAAGGCCAGAGCAGGTCACAGGCAATGCAGTAATAGTGACACCAGCCACAGAGCCCTGCCAGCAAGCGCACCATCACAGAGGACCCCAAGTGCAGGACAACACCCCCAAGGTCTAGGTCCACTCCCACTTCCACTCAAGGTCAAGGGCATGACTGAAAGGGATTCTGGTTCTGGGGTTCCCTAGCATCTCCCATCAATAAAACACCAAGAGGGTGGGAATTGATGCCTGTATCCCATATCATGCTTGTTCAAGTCAAGTCCTATCTCTTCTTCTGAAACAGCGTCCTGCTAACGCACCTGGGAGGCAGGGTTGGCTCAAATGCTTGGGCCCCCGCTACCCATGTGGGAGACCAGGATGGAGTTCCTGGTTCCTGGCTTCAGCCTGGCCTGGCCCAGCCCTAGCTGTTGCAGGCGTCTGGGGAATGAACTAACATTTGGAAGACCCCTCTCTGTCTCTGTTACTCTTTCAAATAAAGACAAATAAACAAGCCTCATCACAAAACTACAACTTATTCCTATTAGAAAACAATCGATCACCAAGAATAATGAGATGGCAAAAGCAGAAGCCCATGAGCATTCTGGTACCCAGTTCAAGAGGCGGGACAAACTCCTGCCAGTCCTAGGCTGCACGTGGGCCGCGGGCCTGTGGCACATCGGAACCTGAGGGCTCAACGAGGCAAACCACAGCTGACTCAAGGGAGGCTGTGCCCTCTTGTGAGGGTGAGACTGGGGGTGCCCTGTAGTCCAGGGGTGCTGGAGTAACCCTGCGACCCCCAAAGGTGACCTGCTCAGCTCCTCTCCACGCTGCAGAGCTGAGCAGGGTCAAGCACCTCAGAGAGGAGGCAGGGAGGGAGCAGGGCCCAGGAGTCGGGAAAGCTGCGCTGGCCCTGCTCTCGCCAAGCCCAGGACACTCTCCTCCGCAGGCAGAGCAACAGGAAGACACTGAGACCACAGCCCACAGTCAGCAGGCGTGAGCAGAGGGCGGCAGCACAACCGACCCTACAGGCACTGAAAGTCACGCCAGAGACAGCTGTAACCATGGCCTAGACACCCAGAATCAGGGCCCGGCGCTGTGGCACAGTGGGTAAAGCCACCACCTGCACTGCCTGCCTGCATCCCATTTGGGCACCTGTTCGAGTCCCAGCTGCTCCACTTCTGATCCAGCTCCCTGCTAATGGCCTGGGAAAACAGCACAGGATGGTCCAAGTGCTTGGGCCTGGGCATCCATGTGGGAGACCCAGAAGAGGCTCCTGGCTTTGGATCAACCCAGCTCTGGCCGTTGTGGCCATTTGGGGAGTGAACCAGCAGGTGGAAGACCTCTCTCTCTCTCTCTCTCTGGGGAGGGGACCAGCAGATGGAAGACTCCTCTCTCTCTCTCTCTCTGGGGAGTGAACCAGCAGGTAGAAGACCTCTCTCTCTCTTCTTCTCTCTCTCTCTGAGGAGGGGACCAGCAGATGGAAGACCTCTCTCTCTCTCTCTGCCTCTCTGTAACTCTCCTTTCAAATAAATAAATACATCTTTTTAAAAAGCCAGAAACAGAAAATTCCAGAAAAGGGGCTAAATCCAGGGAAGAGTCAGCAACAACAGAAAAAATTCACACTAGAAACCAGGTTAAGCTAGCGAGGCCCTAGAACAAGTGGGTAAAACAAACGTCTCAAAAAAGTAGAAGGCAAAAGAGGAAAAGTTTAAAGAAAACTTCACAGAGAACGCTCCCGACTGCACAGGCCCACCTAGGCGGCAGACAGACTGGGGACCTCTGCAGACACCTGCTCACGCCAGCAAGCAGGCCTGGGGCACGCGTCGCCCACGGCCGCTTTGGCTACCATGGCCGCCACCAGGCCCTGGCGTAAGTCCCAGTCCAGAGAACAGAAGCCCTGGTAGGAGGTGGGCTGAGTGCCACCCACTCCCGACGCCTCCTTACACCAAATCTAGGCACTGGATCCAAACACCAGACGTAATTCTGTGAAAGTGGCAAACAGACCCCAAGGAAGCGGAGAGGGAAATGAGATGATCTGGAACGTTTCCCAGAGGCGGACGGACAGACCACAGACTGGATCTGGGGATGAGGTGAACAGAATCCAGCCACAGGCAGCACAGCCGCTGCTGTCCCGCTGCCCTTGCTAACTCGGCTCTCTTTCCACAGACACCTCCCCCACGGCTGGCTCCAGACGAACACGCTCCGCCAACACGAGCCACGGCCACTTCGCAACCCTGGGAGCGCGGGCTCGGATGCCCTCAGAAGCAGGACCTGCTGCTCCCACTCTGTCTACTGTGTGCGTCAGGACGTGTGAATCCGCGGTCATGTCACCGCACACACCACAACTCACCGGAGATCTGCACATTTAACGTAGCTGAAGCGTCTGCATTTTTCACTTCTCTTTTCATGCTGAACAAAAGAGACTTTAAGCTACTATTCTCCTCCAAAGACTTGTCTAAATGGTGTCTCAAGTCATCCTAAGGACACAGAAAACACACTTAACGTAGAAAAACCAAATTCTGTGCAATGCTCGGTTCACCACCGATCCCACCTTCCTCACCGGTGACGACCCTGCGCCACAGTGAGGCTCTGGCTGCCTTTGGGGGTAGGGCAAGGCCATCAGGACACCAAGGTCGTTTGGCCCCAGTGAGACGCATCCACTGTGCCCCCACACCGCGCACCTCCCGGAGTGGGTGTGCACTGGCCCCTGCAGGAGCCTCAGCCTACTGCTGGGAGGAACACCCGGAGGTGGCCGAGTCCGGCTTCCTGGAGGGAGCCCCAGTGGTGACCACAGGTCTAGAGCACCTGTGCTGTCCCTCGGCATTGACAGCCTCCCTTGGGAACGCCAGCCGGCTCTGGCTCCTCGGTCTGCACGCGTGGGAATCCATCAGCCACGGTCGCAGGCGGGAACTGCACTTGAGGTCCTGCTACCCACTCCAAGTGTACAAAAAAGCCCACAGTAGGGCCTCACAAAGGAGGGCGGGCACCAGCACGCACATCACGCCCTGCTCTGCGTCCCCTGGGTGGAGCACCTGAATCTGTGCCATGGCCCCAATTTCCAGAGAAGCTTTGCTGTACTCTCTCCACGGGGCAAGTGCCACCCCCACGGCCCCCTCAGTGCCCCTGTGTGCACGCGCCATCTCCTGGCGGGAGCCGGTCGCTGCATCCAAGATCATTCATCTCAGATTCAGGCCTCCTGCTCAAAATGCCTCCCTGACGAAGCCCATCCACACCACCTTCCTTTCCTGCCTGTCCTGGGACCAAGCAGCTCTCGGTGAATGGGTTGTGCCTGGCGTGCTCCCAGGGCCGGGCGGTCCGTGATCAGGGCTCTGGGCTCCCAGTCCCTGGGGCAAGTCTCCACCTGGTCGGGGAGGTAGAGCCCAGACAGGTGCCTCCGCCTTACGGGCTGGGCCAGGACGTGAGGCTGGGAGCAGGCCTCCACCTTCACCGGGCCCTGGGACCTCTGACCTCGAGAAATACAAGTGCTCACTTAGAGTGAGAATTCAGTAACACAGCTGCGGGGCTGGCGTCCTCTCTCCATGGTCCGTGGTCCGTGGGATAAACTCAGGAGAGCTAATGTCTCGCCGGAATGCAGCTCTCTCTGAGTCCCAGCTGCCCCCAGGACAGAGCCCTGTATGGCCCTGACCACTGTTCCTGCCCCTGTGCCGGCACCACCTGGGGTCACCCTGGAAAAACAGGAGGAGGTTCAGCTCCCAAACGCTCCAGGCTGCTGGCCCAGACGGGAAACTCCAGGCTGCTCCCAGTGGGGCCCGAGACTGCCTGGTCAGACTGTGCACCCAGGGTGAAGGAGCAGGCATCCACGTGGCCACACCAAATGGCACTGACACAAAGCCAACAGCCAGACTCTGCTGAACCCACTGCTCCTGAGCCCAGCAGGTAAGGGTCCCCACCTTGCTGGCACCAAAGCCCCAACGGGTACCATCCTTAGTTTGCTCAAACAGGCTGTGCCATGTTCCGCAGTCAACATTCCGCGAGCCCAGGCCCAGAGCTGCCAGGGGTCCGGCCATTTCCAGATGCAGGAGCCACAGGTGGAATATTCACCAGTGTGTTTAACATCAGAGGTGCCTGCAGAATTTCACTATTTTTCCTTTTTGCTCTTCAAATGAAGCTGCTTGTGGGGTCTCTGAGAGCAGAGTCTCACAAAGCAAAGATACCAAGTATTCGTCAGACAGTCCCAGCACCCTCCACTCCTGTCTCACCCACGAGGTACTGTGGGCAGCTCCCAGTCACAAAGTCCAACGTCCCGGCTTCACAGCCCCGGCTGTCTCAGGTCCCCATGCTGTCCCCATGCTGTGAGGACCCAGGCCCCCTTGAGCGACCTGGAAGAGGGTCAGGCCTTCAGATGCGGTGACAACCTCCTCCTCCGACCCCGAGCCAGCTGCAGCAGCTCAGCCACAAAACACGAAGGCGACAGCAGGCTCCAGGGAAGCCCACCGTGAAGAGCTCTGCAAGGGCGTCACAGCTTTTGTGCAGCACAACAGACGTCTCTGTCCCTCCTCGCCGCCCGAGCTCAGCGAGCCCTCACCACTGTCCCTCCTCGCGCACCGAGCTTAGCGAGCCCTCACCACTGTCCCTCCTCGCCGCATGAGCTTAGCGAGCCCTCACCACTGTCCCTCCTCGCCACCCGAGCTTAGCGAGCCCTCACCACTGTCCCTCCTCGCCGCACTGAGCTTAGCGAGCCCTCACCACTGTCCCTCCTCGCCGCATGAGCTTAGCGAGCCCTCACCACTGTCCCTCCTCGCCGCATGAGCTAGCTCCCTGTCCCTCCTCGCCGCATGAGCTTAGCGAGCCCTCACCACTGTCCCTCCTCACCACCCAAGCTTAGCGAGCCCTCACCACTGTCCCTCCTCGCCACCCGAGCTTAGCGAGGCGCCCTCACCACTGTCCCTCCTCGCCACCCGAGCTTAGCGAGGTGCCCTCACCACTGTCCCTCCTCGCCTTTCGAGCTTAGCGAGGTGCCCTCACCACTGTCCCTCCTCGCCGCATGAGCTTAGCGAGGCGCCCTCACCACTGTCCCTCCTCGCCACCCGAGCTTAGCGAGGTGCCCTCACCACTGTCCCTCCTCGCCTTTCGAGCTTAGCGAGGCGCCCTCACCACTGTCCCTCCTCGCCGCACGAGCTTAGCGAGGCGCCCTCACCAAGCCACTTCAGGCTGCTCCCCGTGTGGTCACTTGCTGGGCGGCCACACACAAGTAAGCCAGGGCGAAGGGCCCTGCCCTTTGGGCCCAGCTGGCAGCCCTCCAGTCACCCCTCACCCCACGACGTAACTCACTGACAGCGACTTTCTCAAGGACCACCCGCTCAGTAACCCCACCCAGTCAAGGCCAGCACGACGGGTGCACTCAGCTGCGAGAGTCCAGCCTGTGGGGGCCCTGCAGAGTCCCTCAGGCTCACACACAGGCCTGGGTCAGGAGAGTGGACACAAAGGATTCTTCCGGGAGCTGGGTTTCATCCCACTGTCTCTCCATTGCTCCATGGAAAACAGACGGCAGCCCCAGGCAGGTAGACCCCCACAAGCCACAGACTGTGTCAGACTCCTAGTAGGGGAGGGGGAGCTTTCGGGCCTGGAGGAGCAGCAGGGACGCTCAGCCCACGGCAGCTAAGGGCAGGGCCAAGTCCAGTGCCTGTGCTTGCTCTGTGGGGAAGCTCCCTCTCCCCATCCCGTCGACAGTGGACACAGCGCAGGGCACAGCTCACCATCTCCTTGCGTGCATCGTGCAGGTCTGACATCACCTCACTCATCTTCAGGGCGTGCTGCTGCTGCTGGTCAGCGAGGTGGCTCTGCAGAGACCTGTTCTCCAGGGCCAGGTGGCTCATGTCTTCCTTCACACCTGTCGAGCTGTCCCGAGCTACGGTCAGTTCTGGAACAGCTGACAAGATGTGTCTTGCCTGAGCTGGAAGTAAAGATGAAATACTATTAGTGCTTAGATTTAAAGAATACAAACAAAACACACTCAACCTATTTTGAGTGACACAGTCCACTTGCCTCAAAAGCACTGCCAGGTGTGGAGGGCAACGGGACGTGGGCAGGCCCAGTCGGCTCCACTGCCTGCAGGAGGACAGGCGGTCCTCCAGGGGGGCTGCGGGTCACAGGCTCTGCAGGTGCACAGGTCTGGGTGGGCGTCACAGCAGCCACTCCAGTCTCCTTTCCCAGGCGCAGCCCACCACACACAGCAGTCAGCACACAGACCAATCCCACGGCCACAAGCCACCAGGAACCTCCTCCGAGACACTGGCCCTAGTAAGTGGTGTAGATTTATGGGGTCAGCTGTGGGGGGCAGGGAAGGCCGCGCTCCTAGGGTGCCCTCAGGAGGAGCACAGGGGCCTCAAGAGCTCCTGCGGCACTCCGCTCAGAACCCGAGTCTGTCCGAGACCCATGGCAGGTCTGGCTCCCCGGGGACACTGAGAGCCACTCCCCAAACTGCAGGACCAAGAAAGCTGCCAGGTGGGACCCAACTGTGAGCCTGGAGGAAGGAGATCTCGGCTGCTCCGGCACCATCACTCACGGAAGCAAGCCAACCCATACCGTCTCCAGGGAGGAGACTCGGCCCCGGGCCCGGAGCCCTGCAGCCAGAGCTGTGCACACAGCCAAGCCTTCAGGGAGGCCTGGGGAAGCTGGAGGCAGCAAGCCGCGGCCCTTCAGGCCTGCTGTGCCCCAGAGCCCGGCTCTGAGAGGAGGCAGAAACTGTCGGGAGGGGCTGGGTAAGGGCCCCTCACACTCGCGAAGGCACCTCAGGGACCAGTGCCAGGACAACGTGCACAATTCTCTGAAGTTCCAGTAGCACGTTTGCTGAGGACCCCAAACCTAGCTGATAAATGACTGCACACAGATGCAGCCTGGTGGCCTGAGCCGCCTCCGCCCACTCACCGAGAAATGTCTCGTTGCTGTGCAGGGACTTGCAGCCGCTCCAGTGCCTGTCCACCAGGTCGAGGACCGCTTCCAGGAGGGCCACCTCCAGACCAGCCTTCTTCCCAGGCGTGGCTGCCGAGTGCACCTTGGGAGATGGCTGACAGGGAAACAGAATCACGGAAAGCAGAATCCTCACGTAAAAGCAACATCTGTGACAAAGCACAGTTCACACCCTACCACGTGAGGCCACAGCCCTGAGCTGAGGGGGGGCTCGTCAGCACCTGTTCTGCGAGGCTCGTGGACATCGTCCTCAGCACCCGCCCCCCCCCCCCCAACCAGACTCAGACGAGACAGGGACCAAGGTCGGGCCACAGCGAATCCCCGCGTGGCACTGGCTCAGGATGCTGGCCTGCTGCCAGCCAGTCGGGATCGCAGGGTGCCAGACTGCGGCCTCCAGGGGCAGCACGGAAGCCCTCAACCCCTCAACAGTACTAAGCCCGGGCTTGCTTACTATGCCAGCTCCCCTCATTCTCGCCCCCGCGGCCAGCTCAGGGCCGACCAGAGGGCCGGCTCAGTCCCATCCAGCCCTATCAGGGGCTCGACTCCCCGTGAGCTGCCTCGCACCCCAGGCTGGCATCGCTGCCAGCTTTGCCTGAGCCTCCCTCTTTCTAAGACCAAGCTTTCTGCTCAGCCGTGCCGGTCTCAAGGCTGCAGCTGGGGCAGCTGACCCGGGCGAGGAGCCGCTGGAGACGAGCCGCTCCCAGGCCCCAGGCAGGCGGGGCTCCTGGAAGACAGCTCTGGGTGCTCCTCCTCTGACGGGGCATCGGTCGCTCCAGCTGCCCCACTGCACCGGACACGAGCCTGCAGGAGGGTGTGGGCACAGAAGCAACCCCAGCAACAAACACCCACGAAGTCGGCTATGGGGCCGCAGTCACGGAGACAGTGTCAGCCGCTGTCAGAGAGCCCACACCACCTCTGCCCCTCAACACGTCCTCAGAAACGAGACGGGGGCCGTCCTCGCCGGCACTCACCTCTCTGACGTCACTCGCGCCGTGCAAGCGTTGCCCTTCCAGCTCCGACACCGCAGAGTGAGAGAAGGCCCTCGCGCTCCTGCCTTCCGAGCTGCTCAGCCTGCTCAGCCCCTCCTCCAGGCAGCTCAGACACTCCTGGTCGGAAGGCGCCTGGAACCTGCCCCCGGGCATTCGTCGCTTCCTCAACTTCTCCTGAACAGGCAAAGCACTTAACACTTTCTGTGTTGACGTACTTGACTTCTGGGAAGAGGAGGCCGAGTCCCCGACGTCCATGGAGTCTGCGACGAGACAGGAGACCCTGTCAGATCAAGCTCTCCACAGCGCAGCAGCCAGGCGTGCGTGCTGACGTGTGTGCACATGCCAACACAGATGTGCACTGTGTACGTGTGCACGCACAGGGAGAGGGCAGCGTGTGCATGAGGCATCAACCTCTCTGCACTGCACGTGAACTCAGCTGGGCTGTGTGCTACCGCAAGCTCTCAGCAGCATCAGCACACACGTTTCTGAAGACAGGTTAAACGACAGACTCCACAGTGGAGCAGCACTGAGCTGACCGCTGTGCCACCAGGAGGTGGAGGGCAGCCTTGTGAGGGGAGTGACAATGGAAACAGAAGGCACTCAACATGGCAGTGACGCGGCGGCCAGGGAACACAGCCAGGCCTCCACCCGACCTTCCTGCTCTGCGGCCCGAGTGCTCCGCCTGAACAAGGCCCAGAAGCTGCTGGCTCTGCTCATGCCACGGGCGGTTTCTGACACTCATGCCACAGACCCGTGTAAGATACCTATTCGCTCCGTTCTTCTCACTTTTTAAACAAAGATTCATTTATTTATTTGAAAGGCACAGCCACAAAGAGAGAGGGGACAAGAGTGTGTGTGGCAGGGGGAGGAGGCAGGGAGGGAGAGAAGGAGGGAAAGAGAGATCTTCCATCTGCAGGTTCCCTCCCCAAATGGCTGCAAAAGCCGAGGCTGGGCCAGGCTGAAGCCAGGAGCTCTAGCTGGGTCTCCCACATCGGTGACAGGGGCCCAAGTACTTGGCACATCTTCTGCTGCCTTCTCACGTTCATTAGCAGGAAGCTCGATTCAAAGTGGAGCAGCCAGGACTTGAACCAGTGCTCCAATATGGAATGCTGGCCCTAATACCAGGCCCAGTTTCCCTCAACTTTGATTTAAAAAGTGGGTCTGTGTATTTAGAAGGAAATGTGTATGGTCAGGAACTTAAAATATAAATAGATGACAACTTTCAGAGTGCTCAGTTCTTTCCTAAGACATGGTGGAGCGCCACAAGCGCGCAGACATGCAGCGCCGGGGCAGGAGGGCGCCACCGCAGGAACAAGCACCGCGGGAAGCACCCGCCTCCTAGCAGGCACCAGCGGGGCCGATTACCTGGATGCGGGGTGAAGTGGGCGCGCACGGCCTGGGACGCCGCGTACGGGGCGGGGAGCTCCCCACAGTGGTGGTCCCGGGGCTGCTTCTCTGGACAGCCCCCTCTGGAGCTGCCTTTCCTCTTCTCATGGGCTCTCTTCCCCGAGTCCCCACACTGGTGCTGCACTGACGGTGGGCTGGACGAGGGTCTGGATTCTGTTTTAGTACAAACATTTTATCTCAAGTTAGACTTCAAGTTTCTGACAGTTAATCTCCACTAAACACACTTTCCCTCAAGCTGATGAAGTGACAAAGCTGCAATGATGCAATGCGTTCCAAGCAAGGAAGAGCTGAGGACTGACCTGCCCCAGCCCCAGGACGCACGACACGCTGTGGCAGCCAGGTGGCTGGAGGGGCACAGGCAGAGACGTGACAGCCACCACGCCAGAGACAGACAGGTATAGCCACGTGCGGGAGAAAACTCAGTGTGTCTGTCTGAGAAAGGGGCCTTGCTTTCAAAAGCCAGCTCAGTACCAACAGGACAAGGACCCCATTAAAAATACGGCAGACTGGAGTTTAAGTCTCAAAAAGAAAGCATGCAAACAGCCAGCGACAAAACCCCACTGGCCGTCAGCAAGATGCAAGCTGCAGCCTTGGGGAGCGCCACCACGGATCCGCGGGAGGAGCTGGGTTGCAGGCCCGAGAGGGCAGCTCCTCGCTCCAGCTGCTCACTCAGGGACTTGAGCCCCAGCTGATGCCTCCGCCTGGGGCCGTGCAGAGCTCCTGGGACTCCTGATGGCACCAGAGCTGCTCGGCACGTCCTCGTGGACTGGCACACGGGGGCCCCGTCAACGGGGACTCTCGCCAGGTCCCTCTTGTGTGCAGAGGTCTAAGGCAGCCTGACCTCAGAGCCGCCTCACAGCTAAATGACAGGTCCCTCGTGGCCCACATGGGCCACCACCGACATTTGCCTTTTCCTGGTATCTGAGGAAAAATGAAGTTCAACAACAGACTCCGATACATGAACTCTCTCTCACGACTCCAAGTCCAAACGAGGGCATTCCAAAGTCCACCAGGAGCCACCAACGATGGCCTCGGGTTCTCCCCTGGCCTCATAAAGTCCCAAGGCTTTCACCATGAGGACTTCCAGCACGGACCAGGGGCCAGGCCAGGAGTGGGGGTGGGGGTGGGGGCAGCCTCCTCCTTGGAGAGCAATAGGGACAGCAAAGTGTCTCCAGCAGCTGGCCCTGGAGACCATCGGCGTCAGCAAGGACCCCTATTTTAGGAAAATCACCTGGGACTGTAGGAAGGCGAACTCCTGAGGCTTCACAGCCCCGAGGGCAGGTAGCTCAGACACACCCAGGGGACAAGCACCAGGCCAACCTGGCCTGCCCAGCAGCCAAGGAGACGCAGGTCAAGGGAGAGGTGAGGATCGGCCACCCTAGCGGCCAGCAGAGCCTCCTCTTCCACGACCTCTCAGACTACTCTGAGACTGCTGAGGGCACTACACCCTGACACCACGCCCCAGCCGGTGCTGCCAGTACCTGCTGATGGCCACCGAGGGCGAGTTTTGGACTCACTGGAACAAAGAAACCAGCAGTTTTTTCTGCAGTTCCACTTCAAGGCGAAGTGGCCCTCAATCCCCATGTCCGAACAGTCTGCGCCCTCAGGCACCACTGCAGAGTCTGCCCCTGCTCCACCAGCAGGCCGGGCCCTGCTCCCCTCCCTCAGCACAGGCTCACACATTCAGGGCCCCTGGGCTCCCCAGTTGCCGCCCACCCCCAGCTCCAGGTATCCAATGTCTCCTGCACCAGTGGTGCACCCCCCAACATTTGGGGCCTATCTACCAGCCCTGGGGGTTCACCCTCTCCCACTGGTTGGGGTTCAGCCCTAGACCCCTGGGACCTACCCCTAGCCTCCTGGAATCCATCCTGTGGCTGCTAGGGTCCACACCAGCTCCTGGCATTCATCCCTCAAATCCTGGGGTATACCCTCCTACTCCCATGCTCTGTACTGAGACAGACCCTCACTGCCCTCCAAAGACCCAGGGGACACTCTCCCCCCGCCCCAGCCAACTCAAAGGCTGCCATCCCCCAAGCCTGGTTCTGTTTTCCCTGTACCATCCACCCCACCAAGAGCCCTGCTTTTATACTTCCCAGAGCTCACTAAATGGTCTACTGGTGAAAAAGAACAAAGTACACGAAGACTCCAGGAATACACCATCTTTCAAAACAGGCCTTGAGAAAGGGCAGCTGTGCATGCTGAAGCCAGGGACTAACGGCCGGGCCGGGCAGGGCAGTACACCTTGGGTGCTGCGGAGGTCGGTCTCGCGCTCCCTCTGGCTGGAGCTGGTGCTCCTGGGCGGGTTGCTCAGGTCCCACTCGCACTCGGCTATGAGGCTCAGGACGGCCTCGTCATCGGCGTCCATGACCAGGCACTTCTTGGCAGAGGCGTCAGTGCACCTGGCTTGGGAGGGGAGGGGTCTGCAAGGAAACGAAAATGCATCAGCAGTGCAGAGCAGCATCGAGGGGTGAGACACGGGGGCACAGCCCAGCTACTGTGCTCAGGAAGCACGGCCATGGGGTGGGCAGGACAGGAAGGGGGTGCTTGCCTGGGTGGGGAGATGAGACACTGAAGTGCTCCCTCCATCCACGTAGATGGTCCTGCCTAAAGCGCTCACATCCAGAACAGGGCGCATGCGAGGAGAGGGCCCTCAAATGGGACCTGGAAGCCGACACGGCCGAGGACGCAGAGCACGAGGCCTGGGGAAGGGCTGCTTCTCACCTGGGCCCTTTCATTCTGCATATGGCTTTTGTAAATACCAGCAGGACACTGAGCTCCGTCCTCTCCCGGGCATCTGCTCGCTGGGGCGGGGGTGCACCACGTCCTGCCCATGGCCAGGCTTAAGGACGGCTCTGAGGCGTAGACCTCGTACCTGCCAGCTCGCACGGCAGCCAGGAAGCTCTCTCTTGAGTCGACTGAGTCCTCGGAAGCAAAGTGTAGCTGCGAAGCCTTCCGTTCACTGTCCCTCACGGGACGGTCATCTGGGGGGAGAGGCCACAGGGCCTGGTCACCCACCTGGGGCACACAGCACAGGCTCACCCTCCCTGCACATCCCCCAGGCCCCCTGACAATCAGCTCTCAGCTCACGGAGCACCAAGTGCAGCAGGGGCACACGCAGGATCTCATGAGGTCCCCTGTCATCTGAGCCTCTCCCGGCTGGGAAGCTCTCGTATTCCTATGCACAAACACTCTATGACGCTGAACCTAAGCTTTCTAGACAAAGGGAAAGCAAAGATGTAAAACTAAGATGCCAAAAACTACCCGTGATGCAGACTGTAACGTTTCTGAAAAAGCCAAGTTTAAACCTTTATAAGTTACTGGGTCAGACACTCAGACTGTAGAAGGCAAGAACTTACTCCTGTCAAATACCTTAGAATAATCATGGCGACAAACTAAACAGCGTCTGTGGGGGCCCTCGTTAATGCCCACAGCCTATCCCTTGGCCTCAGAAGCAGGGCCACGCTCCCAAGAGGCACCAGCACACACGTGGCCGAGTAGATGGGCAGTCCACTCGCTGTCCTTAGGGCAGCACGCAGGAGACACGTGTGCCGAGGGCCTGCCCCCAAAGCAGAGACTGGAAACAGGAGGGGAGAGGGGCTCCTGCCCCCAGACTTTCCTCAGGCACACTGCCTGCCGCCCTGGGCAGCTGAGCACCTGCAGGCTCAGGGCTGCCCTGGGAGTTCCTGAAATCACTTCCAGAAGCCTGCAGAAAAGCTGCAGGAGCGATGCAACACGGGCTCTGTCGTGACGCCGCCCAAGGCCCACCACGGTGCCTCCCCGGGGACTCTTCACCGACTCCCCGCGATGGCCTCCTTCCAGCACTCCCAGAACATACCCAGGACATAAGGAAATATCACGTAGAGCACAGAATACAGTCTCTCTCTCACACACACACACACACACACACACAGACACACACACGAGGCTGCCTGTGCCGACACCGCAGCTTTGCACTCCACACGCAGCAGCCCCAAGCAGCCTGGCTGCAGGCCCAGCCTGAAGCCCTCAGAGCGGCACATGGACACTCCCTGACCCGCCTCTCACAGGCAGGACCCACAGACGTGCCCACCCCCTGGGGTGGAAGAGTCATGTGGACAGGCGCCACAGGACCTGGGCCCTGTGCTGGCCTCCTGGGAGCAGCCAGGTGCTCAGTCCATGCACGCTGCGGTGTGCAAGTGTGCAGCTGGCAGAGAGCTCGGCCTTAAGGGCACCGCCCGCGGCAGCACAGCCCAGCCCGCACCATTTAAAACCTCTTTTCTGTGACGGCCTGACCAACGCCCTCTCTGCACCACATGAACCTCCCTCTCTGTGCACCCCAAGTGAGTGCCAGCTGGAAAGATCCAGTGTGGCCTGCAGGCAGGGAACCCAACACGACCTTTAGGTCATTATAATAAACACGATACTCATCATAATAAAATCACCATGGCCGGCACGGCCACTCCCATCATGCACCTGACACTGGAACACTTCTGAGATTTCCAAAAAGGAGCCTGCAAACGGGTAGTTCTCAAGCCCCACCTTCAACTCCACCCTTCTGAATATTCAGTTAAGCCCCACCCCTTAGGCCTCCCTATGGTATAATGAGATCTCCCAGACCCCCCCCTCCCTTCCCCTTCTCTTTCTCTCTCCCACCTGCATTTACTTGAGTGTGTACTTTTCCCTGACTTTCTGAACACCCTTCCGTCTCCTCCTCGAACCCCGCCAGGTGTGGAGATGAACGTGGACCGAGGCCACTAGGCCGGGCCAGTGCAGATTCCCCACAGGCCGCTCACACGCTGCAGCCCATTCCTCTCTTTTTGCTGTTGTCAATTTGAAATCAACACACAGATGTCAATCTCCCAAAAGAACCCTAACGCCCAGGACATGCAGGACACGCTTGTTCAGAGAACTTAGGCCGCAGGAGACAAACCCACTGATCCTTTTCTTTTCTTTCTTTTTTTTTTTTTTTTAATCTGACAGAGTTAGACAGTGAGAGAGAGGGAGAGAAAAAGGTCTTCCTTCCGTTGGTTCACCCCCCAAATGGCTGCTACGGCCGGCACTGCGCCGATCTGAAGCCTAGGAGCCAGGTACTTTTCCTGGTCTCCCATGGGGGTGCAAGGCCCAAGCACTTGGGCCATCCTCCACTGCCCTCCCGGGCCACAGCAGAGAGCTGGCCTGGAAGAGGAGCAATAGGACTAGAACCGGCACCCATATGGGATGCCGGCGCCACAGGCAGAGGATTAGCTGAGTGAGCCATGGCGCTGGCCCCTCACTGATCCTTTTCTTTCTGGGTGCAGAAGGGGCCCGGCTGTGAACAAGTGCACACCATCTCTGATTCCAGTACCGAGAGAAATCCCGTGGAACACAACAGGCTCTTGGCCGTGCCAGGTGCTGTCCTGGGACAGACACAAGTCTCCACCTGCACGCCACCCACTTCACGCAGGGAGACACACGGCCAGGCCCTGCCCTCCCAGGCAGCTTTCCTGCCACAGCCCCTGTGAAGACACAGGGCAGCCGGCATCCCCACCTACCCAGCTGCTGCAGCCTGGGGAGCATGTGCACCACAAACAGGCGGTAATCAGACTCGCTCTTCACCACGGGGTTCAGCCGGAAGTCCACGTCCCGCAGCTCAGTCAGGGAGTGGAGCCGAAACACTTCTGCCAGCGAGGAAATGGAGTTGTAGTAGAGATTGAGGCTTTCCAGTGCAGTCAGGTACTGAATGCCCTGTTCACAGGAAACAGGCAAATCAGCGCACACTTGAAAGAGTAACAGAGCAAACTAAGCCGCCAACAACGTGGGAAACACCCTCGCCGACCCGCTCAGGAGAGAGATGTGGACCCAGGCAGAGCAGTCAACGTGAGGCTTCTCCACAGGTCTTGCGAGGCCAGGTGTCTGACGAGCGGCCCACCCGGAGCAGGCGCAGCAAGCGTCAGAGCCCAGCTCGCGGGTCCCTCCCCCTTCCTCACTGGCTGAGTTCTGTGGGCTGCACAGTCTCCTGGACACCGAGTTACAAAGTCACCTTCCGCCTCCCTTCACTGTACCTGGGTTTCCTCTCTGGTGTCGGCTACTCCCTAACATCCTGATTGCCTGGGGAGTTTTGCTGCATCTGCAAGCCAGCTGGCATGATTTTCTACTCTGTGTTGAAAACGGAACATTTTGGGACCAGCGCTGAGGCACTGTGGATAAAGCCGCCGCCTGCAGTGCTGGCATCCCAAACAGGCACCGGTTCGAGTTCCAGCTGCTCCACTTCCGATCCAGCTCTCTGCTGTGGCCTGGGGAAGCAGCAGAAGACGGCACAAGTGCTTGGGCCCTGCAGCCACACAGGAGGCCCAGAAGCAGCTCCAGGCTCCTGGCTTCGGATCGACCTAGCTCAGGCTGCTGCAGCCTTTTGGGGAGCAAACCAGTGGACGGGAGACCTCACCGTCTCTGTGTCTCTGTCTCTCTCTCTCTGCCTCTGTAACTCTGCCTTTCAAATAAATAATAAATAAATCTTTAAGAAAAAAACGGAATTACGTGGGTGGGGGTGGGGAGACAGATCTTCCACTGTTTTTTTTCATTCTCCAAATAGCTGTAATAGCCAGGGCTGAGCCAGGCGCCTCATCCGGGTCTCCCAAGTGGGTGCAGGGCCTCCAGCACTTGGGCCATCTTCCACTGCTTTCCCGGCCATTAGCAGGGAGCTGGACGGGAAGCAGAGCAGCCGGGACTCAAACCAGTGCCCATATGGGATGCCGGCACTGCAGGTGGTGACTTCACCTGGCTTGCCACAGCGCCAGCTTCCGGATGTTTTCTTACAAATAAGAACTGACCAACTGAAGTAAACACACACACTTGTTAGAACGCATAGAGCAAGGTTTTACTCAGTGGGACAACTGTGTACGAAGTTTGAAACGTTATGGTACGGCAGTCAACAGCTACCGAGTTCTCTTTCGTGCCAAGCTTAGTGACTTACACAATCTCACTTAATCTGCACACAATCCCATTTTACATTTACAGATTGAAAACCTCAGATTGGGGAGGTGTAGACAAGTACCCCCTTGGGATGGGAGCCACATCGGAGCTGAGCAGGGCTCCTGTGGTCTCCATAAAGCACCACGTCTGGGGCCAGCGTCCTTTCTCTTCATCAAGCTCCAAGCAGCATTCCACGACACCAGGGGCCTCTGCCCTGCCGCTTCTGGCTCACGCACCACACCCGCCTGGCTGTGCCCACCTGGCTGCTGTCAAGAGTGGCACCTGCAGGTCCTTGGGCCCTGCACCCGATGGGAGACCAGGAGGAAGCACCTGGCTCCTGGCTTTGGATCAGCACAGCGCACCGGCCGCAACGCGCCGGCCATAGTGGCCACGTGGAAGGTGAACCAACGGAAAAAGGAAGACCTTTCTGACTCTCTCTCTCACTGTCTAACTCCGCCTGTCAAAAAATAAAATAAGATTCATAAAAAAAAAAAAAAAAAAAAAAGAGCGGGGCCAGACACAGGGAGGTGCAGAAGGTGGCCGGACACCTCGAGGTAGGGAGTGACGGGCATGCACACCGCAGCTCCTGGCCTCTTAGTCACTCCTCTGAGGTCTCAGCCACGTCCATCAGTCTCGGAGTGCCGATCACCCGTGTCAAGTGAGGACGTGACGTGACACAGAACACAACACCGGCCAACCTTTGAGCATGCCGTTCACGGGAACTTTCAAGTACTTCACTAAGAAACAGATGGTTTTACCACAAGTGCAGCCTCTGCTGATACTGACAGCAGTAAATCTTCTCTTTCATCAAACGTACCTCCAGACTAACCAAGGAGTTGCGTGAGAGGTCCAGAGCTCTGAGACCCGTTAAGTTCATCAGAGAATTTCCCAAGTGAGTAATCTTCTCCTGGTAAGTTCCAGGAACAGACAGTGACTGAAGCTCAGCTAAGAAGAGAAAACAGACAGTTCAGTATTTCTTATATTGAAAACAAATACAAGTTCAAATTTTTTAAAGATTTATTTATTTATTTGAAAGTCAGAGTTATACAGAGAGAGAAGGAGAGGCAGAGAGAGGTCTTCCATCTGCTGGTTCACTCCCCAGTTGGCTGCCAACGGCTGGAGCTGAGCCGATCCGAAGCCAGGAGCTTCATCTGGGTCTCCCACACAGGTGCAGAGGCCCAAGGATTTGGGCCATCTTCCACTGCTTTCCCAGGCCACAGCAGAGAGCTGGATCAGAAGTGGAGCAGCCAGGACTCAAACTGGCATCCATATGGGATGCCGGCACTGCAGACGGCGGCTTCTCCCCCTATGCCACAGCGCTGGCCTTGGTTCAAATTCTTAAAAATAAAGCAGATACTGGCAGAGTCTCTGCTTAAATAACTTTCGTCAGGTTTCTGAACCCCCAGGCCCGCAGTGCACCTCTAAAATCCAGTTTTAGGAAGAGCCCAGATGCCCCCATTCCCACTGTCCACCACCCCCAAGTGACATCTTACCAGCCTGGCCTGCCCTCACCAAGAATCCGGTGAGGCCAGTTTAAGCAGAATCCTCCTGACTCCCAGCTTCCTTGACCTGCAGTGGCTGGCACCAGGACTGTGGGCCGGGACCCTGATGCCTGGCCCGGCTGTAACTAAGCGACGCCCTTCACCCTCCTGCCAGCAGCACCCAGCAGGTGCCAGCAATGAGTACAGACAACACCAGCAGTGAGTACCATGACCTAAACAGGAAGGAGAACTCCTAACAGAACCAGCAATGGGTACAGAGACCTACATAGGAAGAACTCAAAACAACAGCAATGGGGCCAGCGCTGTGGTATAGCGGGTAAGCCACTGCCTGCAGTGCTGGCATCCCATATGGGTGCCGGTTTGAGTCCTGGCTGCTCCACTTCTGATCCAGCTCTCTGCTAATGGCCTGGGAAAGCAGTGGAGGATGGCCCAAGCAGTTTGGGCCCCTGCACCCACGTAGGGAGACCTGGAAGAAGCTCCTGGCTTCGGGTTAGCCCAGCTCTGGCCATTTGGCAGAGTGAACCAGAGGATGGAAGACCTCTCTCTCTCTCTGCCTCTGTGTAACTCTTGCCTTTCAAATAAAATAAATAAATCTTTTAAAAACAAAAAAACACCAGGAATGAGTCCAGAGACTTGATAGGAAGAAATGTAACACCAGTAATGAGTAACCGGATCTGCACAGGAAGAACACCACCAGTGACAAGCAGGTATCTAAGCAGGAAGGAGAATTCACAACCAATCCAGCCACGAGCGTGGGGACCTAAAAAGGATCAGCTTATGATAATGTGGTGTAACTAGACAAAGTTAGCTGAGCTGGAATTCTCGTACCCCTGCAAAATCAATGCTCTTTAACTGTCAGCTCCATAGGCCCGCCTTCCCAGGATGCATCTGTTGCTTAGAGCCCACCCTGTTTGCGCATCTAATTAAGTACCCCCCCTCTGTTTACAAAGAGGTTGAAGGCAAGACAGTGTTCTTTCCTCCATGGACTATCAGATGAACCACTCTCGTTTTCACTTAGCAGTACCACTCCTGGTCCTCTCGTTCACGTGCAACCCTTTGGCCCACCCATGATGGGTCTTTTCTGTGTGGAGAAGCACAGACTTGTCCATGAACATGTTTATCCCCTCATGGTAAAATGAATTCTGTTCCTACTTGTGTACAATTCTAGTCTCCTCTTAGTATTTAGTATTTCTACCTGTGTGGAAGACAAAAACCTGGATTGAAAAGTAGTACATTCACTGCCCACAATAACAACCTAACACCAGGGATGAGCAAGGAGACCCACACAGGAAGAATTTATTATGTAACACCAGTGATGAGGCCAAGATTTAGAGGGAGCAGAATGTCAAAACACCAGCCATGACCACGGAGATCTAAAGAGGAAGTAGAGGACTGGCATCCCATATTAGAAGAGTGTCTTTTTTTTTTTTTTTTTTTTTTTGGACAGGCAGAGTTAGACAGTGAGAGAGAGAGACAGAAAGGTCTTCCTTCCGTTGGTTCACCCCCCCAAATGGCTGTTATGGCTGGCGCTGCTGCACCGATCCGAAGCCAGGAGCCAGGTGCTTCCTCCTGGTCTCCCACGCGGGTGCAGGGCCCAAGCACTTGGGCATCCTCCACTGCCTTCCTGGGCCACAGCAGAGAGCTGCACTGGAAGAGGAGCAACAGGGACAGAAATGACACCCCAACTGGGACTAGAACCCGGGGTGCTGGCGCTGCAGGCGGAGGATTAGCCTAGTGAGCTGCGGCAGCCGGCCAGAGAGTGTCTTAAAAGATGGTCCAAGTATTTGGGCCCCTGCCACTCATGTGGGAAACCTGGTTGGAGCTCTGGGCTCTGGGCTCTGGGCTCTGGCTTGGGCTAGCTCCAGCTGGTGCAGCCATTTGGAGAATACACAGAAGACGGATCTCCCCCTGCCCTTCAAACAAATAAAATACGATGAAGAGGAAGCAGAATTCATAACAGCAGCGATGAGTCCAAGACCTAAACAGGAAGCAGAATTCATAACACAAGCCATGGAAACCTACACAGGAAGGAGAATGTCGGAAAGCGATACTGCAGACGTCATCAATACAATCAAGAAGGACCAAGAGCCAGAGAAAACTGAGAAGAGAGAATTATCTAACAGTTTTAAAACAACTCTCACAAAAATACTTCAATGAGCAATTACAACATTTTGAACTAAATGAAAAAGTGCACAGTACTGGCAAAAAGCCAGATGTACAAGAGAGATAAAACAAATTTCAGGAATGAAAAGTACAACTGAAGCAGAAACTAACAACAGCTCCAGAGTATTATGGAATTGACAAAAAAAAAAAAAAAAAAACAACCTTGAAGAGTAGCCATAAAGACTGATGGAAACAGATCCATCTCCCTCACCACACCCATCACACTAACCATCCACTCCCCACGCCCACCACTCACCACACCCATCACACTCACTGCACCCATCACACCCACCACTCATCACACTCACCCATCACATTCACCACTCACACCCATCACACCCACCACACTCACCGCACCCACCACACTCACCACTCACCCATCACTCACCACACCCACCCATCACACCCACCACTCACCCATCACACACCACACTCACCATACTCACCACTCACACCCATCACTCACTACACCCACCACTCACCACACTCACACCCATCACTCCCATCACTCCCCACACTCACACCCATCACTCCCCACACTCACACCCATCACTCCCCACACTCACCCATCACTCACCACCCACTATGCTCAACACAGTCCTACTGGAGTTAAAAAGAGAAAGACACAATGGCTCATGTTTTTTTAAAAAAATTGAAGAAATGGTGTCTGAAAACTTCCAAATTTGCCTCAGGTGCACATGTATACTTTCTACACCTTAGAAAACTCAACAGAATAAGCCAAAAAATGCCACGCTCGGACAGCCTATCAAACTGCTGGGAACTGAAGACATCACCACAGGGGGAGGGGCTCAGCCCAGAGGACCTCTCCCTGGAGGACGCAGCTCAGCCCTGTTCCCGTGCTCAGAGAAGCCCACAGCCACCGAAGGCTGTCGTGAGCACTCACGGTAGAAAGAAAATACTCCCGGGGCCGGCGCTGGCGCTAGTGGCACAGCGGTTAACGCCCTGGCCTGAAGCGCTGGCATCCCATATGGGCGCTGGTTCTCGTTCCGGCTGCTCTTCTGATCCATATCTCTGCTGTGGCCTGGGAAACAGTGGAAGATGGTCCAAGTCCTTGGGCCCCTGCACCCGCGTGGGAGACCCGGATGAAGCTCTTGGCTCCTGGCTTCCGATCGGCGCAGCTCTGGCCATTGCGGCCAATTGGGGAGTGAACCATCAGATGGAAGACCCCCCCCCCCCCCCGCCTCTCTTCTCTCTGTATAACTCTTTCAAATAAATAAATCCTAAAAGAAGAAGAAGATACTCCCTAATGGAAAAAATCCAGGACTCGTCAAAACGAGGCACTCAAAGCATCGCGGCAAATCACAGGGGGCAGGCAACGGGAAGCACAAAGATGAAGACCCAAGGGAACACTGCAGGATAATGGCGTCCGGGGCTGGCATTCCCGCGGACAGGAAAAGGCGCATCTGCAGCGCTGGCGTCCCACGTGGGCGTAGTTCCAGCTGCTCTACTTCCAACCCAGCTCTCCGCTAACGGCCTGGGAAAGCAGAGGACGGTGGCCCAAGGACCTGAGCCCCTGCAAACACGTGGGAGACCCGGATGAAGCTCCTGGTTTCGGCCTGGCTCAGCCCTGGCAGTTGCAGCCATTTGGGAGTGCACCAGAGAATGGAAGATTCCTCTATCCCGCCCTCTCTGTAAATCTGCCTTTCAAATAAACAAATGTTTTTTAAAAATGACTTTTGAGGGGGGCCAGCGCCATGACACACTAGGTTAAACCTGCGCCTGCGGCGCCAGCTCTAGTCCCAGTTGCTCCTCTTCCAGTCCAGCTCTCGGCTGTGGCCCGGGAGGGCAGTGGAGGATGGCCCAAGTGCTCGGGTCCCTGCACCCACGTGGGAGACCACGAGGAAGCACCTGGCTCCTGGCTTCAAATCGGCGCAGTGCCGGCCGTTGCAGCCACTTAGGGAGTGCACCAACGGAAGGAAGACCTTTCTCTCTGTCTCTCTCTCACTGTCTATCACTCTGTCAAATAAAAAAAAAAAAATACGACTTCTGAAGCAGCCATTTGTTGTAAGGATGACACCGGTAGGACCCCTCCCACATCAGCATCTGGGCTCAAGGCCTGCTGATCCTAACTCCAGTTCCCTCCCGGTGCACACCCATGGGACCCTGGGTGGTGGCTCAAGGAGCCGGACGCCTGCCACCCGCGTGGGAGACTCAGACTCGGTTTCTAGCTCCCCGCTTCGGCCAGAGCCGGAATCTGGGGAGTGAGCCAGCCGATGGGAGCTCTCTGTCACTCTCTCAAATGAAAAGACATGCAAAGCAAGCAAAAAGAAACAATAAACGAGATTTTAAAGGGCAATAAAGCTCACAAGATGTCACCCCACCAGCCCTTCTTGGTGCAGGAACCGTGCTCTATCTCCCCCAAGGGCAGCCGGTTAAACAGATCCCAAGAAAGTCCCAGGGGCTTCAAAGCCCCCTACGGCCCCTCTTCAGCCAGCCCTAGGCCCTTCCGAGGCTGTCTCCCTCTGCTTCAATAAAGCAGCCCGTCTCTGAGGTCAGTCTCTCTGGGGGTACAAGACGCCAGAACCCCGAATATTCCGACGCTAACGGACTTGCAGCCACAGGAGGAAGCCAAGCCAAGGCCGGCTCTCAGGAAGCCGAGCAACACCGCATCCACCCCGACTGGGCCCCGGCTGCTCCACTTCTGATCCAGCCCCGGCTAAGGCACCTGCGGCACAGCCGGCGGCCCAGGTGCGGCCCCGCAGCCACGCGGGAGGCCGGGACGGAGCTCCGGGCTCGCAGCTTCGCAGGCTCGGCCCTGGCCGGGCGACCAGCGCAGGGGCGCTGTCTCCCCCCCACCAACCCCAACAGGAGACTCAAAGCGGGGGAGGGGAGGAACCGGGTCGGCTAGACGTTTTAAAACACGCATGCGCAGGGCCACAGGGGTCCGCGGAAATCGCCCAGGAACCGGTCAGCCGCCGGCGCGGACTCCAGGCCGGAGAGAGCGGGCGGGCAGCAGCCGGGGCCAGACAGAAGCGCGCAGAACCCGAGAGAGAAGCCGCGCCACACCACACCGCAGCCCGGCCGCCGCCCCGCGTCCGGAGGCGCAGCACACGGGAGCGGCCGCCTCGGGAAGCCCCGGCGCGTCGGGCCGCGCACCCAGGTCGCGGTGAGGCGCCAGACCGCTCTTCTCCCGGATCCGCTCCTCACACAGCACCAGCCGCGGAGCCGACGCCATGTCTCCAAACCGAACGCCGCGCGCCGCGCCTGCGCAGTGCGAGGGGCGGGGCTAACGTCGCGGGGCGGGGCCGGGGCGGGGCGAGCCGAGGGCGGCTGGGGACGTGGGGAAGGGGTTGGGTCAGACCTGGGCTCCCGGCTGCAGGCCACGGGACCACCCCACAACTGTCGCCCGGGCCGCGCCGCGAGCCCTGCCCTCCCCGGGAGTGCTCAAGGGACGCGGCTGGGACGCGGGCGAGTGGGGACCCCCACCCCCTCCGCCGCGCCTCCCAGGGCTCCACTCCCGCCCCCGGCCCCTCTCTGTCCGGCTTCCGCGCTGCTGGGTCCGCAGGTGCCCGCGTGCCTGGTGGGCGCCGCTCCCGCAGTCGGGCGGGCGGTGTCTCTCGCTGTCTGGAGGGGGCGCGGGGGCCGCTCCGCGTGATGGGACCCTCGGTGTGCCCGCCCCGGCTGCACCGGCTCCTTGACTGCGTCCTCGGGCCGTAGCCGCCCGGGAGGCACGCCGGGCCGGGGAGGTGCGGCGTGGTGGGCGCTCCGGGCCTGGGCGTGGAGCGTGGGGCAGGACGAGGCCCGCGCCACACCTGCGCAGTTCGTCCCGCCGCCGGGAGCAAATTCCCTGGGTTTCCTGGGGTCGGCGGGCGGCCGGCTCCTCTCCCGCCGTGGAAGACAAGTCAGGGCGCACGGGGAGAAGCAGAGGTTCAGCAGCGAGCAGACCCGACACGCGCCCTGCGGGTGTAGCCTGCTTGTCCCGGTGCACCTGCACCAGGCGGCCTCTCTCACACCTCGGACACTTGACCTTTGTAACTCCCAAACCCCTGCTACGGGCCGTCGAGTGCCCCTGGTGCCCAGTCCCCTGGGTCAGGGCCGGTGCAGCACAAGGCGGCCCACGTCCTTGGCCCACGTCCTGCCTCCTGGTCCAGCCTGGCCCAGGCTGGGTGTTGCCACGTTGGGGAGTGAACCAGGACAGGGAAGCTCTCTGGCTCTCCAACTCTGCCCTTGTAAATAAATAAGGGGACTGGGTGCTCCCCACCTGTTTCCAGCACCGAGTGCCCAGCTCTGGCCAGTGAGAAGCAAGCATGGAGCTACAGCGACATTGGTGGGTAAAGTTCTTTTCTGGAAGAAGGAAAAGTGCAGCTGGCAGAGATCATGACCTTGACTCCTTGCCTTGAACACAGCTGTGATGCCTGGAGCTGCAGCAACAACCTTGGGATGAGGAGGTGCCTCCTGCTGGCCCAGACCACGGCTGAGAGCGAGCGAGCACTGGGCTGGTCCTGGGTCTGTGGGGGTGGGGGGGCCTCTGCACTTGGGGGTCAGGGCAGGTCCTGGGTCTGTGGGGGCGGGGGGCCCCCTGCACTTGGAGTCAGGGCAGAGCCTGGCGGGGGCAGGCGGAGCAAGAGGACTCCTCTTCCCCCAAGGCTCATCGACGCTGCCCCTCCTGAGTGGGGACCCCCACCCCACTCCTCTGTCACTCTGTCACTGTCACGGCCACTCCTCTGCCCCTGCGGGTGAACGTGACCATTCCCTTCACTCAGCTGAGCCGCTGCACAGCCAGTCCTGTGGGCGTGTGGAACCGGATGCTGCCCCAGCCCCTCGGTGGGTATGGGAGGGGCACCTAGGGCAGCAGCAAGGTCAGAAAGCAGAGGCCCCGCTCCTGTCTGCCAAGCCCTCCCCTTGACCTGGACTTCCGGCCCCTGGAGCCTGAGGGGCCAGTGCTGGAGCTTAGGCCCCTGTGAGCTCTGTCACAGCATTCGATGGACGGACACCCTCCCTCCAAGTGGCAGCGATGCGATGAGCCCTGAGGGGGTCACCTTGGGTTATGTGGGCAGCCCCGAGGGCAGTCACGGAGGCCCTCGTAAGGTACAGAGGAGAGGGGCCCAGCAGAGGCCGGAGCCCCTGGCCGCGAGCCCAGAGCTGGAGAGGCAGGCAGGCCACCTCCCGCGGCCCCAGAACGGGCGAGCTGCAGCTCCAGCCTGGCGTGGTTTGCACTGGCCACGGGCAGCAGCCTGGGGAGCACGGGTGTATCCCAGAGCAGGCCCGAGCCGAGGGTGGTGCGCGAGCGGGAGGACCCCGTGCGCGGTCACGCGTGCTGGGGAGGGCGTCCTCACGGGAGCGCTCCCTGGGCAGGCCCTCAGCACCTGCAGCCCTCGCACGCGAGACTCGGGGAGCCTAGGAGGCGGCACAGGCGCCCGCAGGCGTGGGCCCCCAGGGCGGAGCAGGCCGCTGTCCTAGGACGGGGGTGGGGGGGGGGCCGTTGGGGGCGGCGGCTGATGGGAGAACACAGGTGTTCTGTGGGCACCTGCCAGGAAGTCCTGGACTTGGCCCAGGTTCCGCAGGGCCCCAGCGCGACTCGGCTGCTCCCTGGAGGTCCTCAGACTTTGGCCATGGAACCCAACCGGGAAGAGACTCACGCCCAGCTGCCCAGTTTACAGGGCAGTAAACTGGGGCTCGTCAGCACTGCGCGGACCCCCGCCGGCAGAGAGCCCAGGCCTGCGCCGCGGGCCGTGGGGCCCCAGCGGAGGCCACGTGCTCAGAGCACAGCCCTGCAGAGCTGTTTGCAAAGGGCCCCGCTCAGTGTCCAGAGCAGGAAGCTGCGGCCTTTAAAAACCAATTAGACACACGGCTTCGCTCCGTGAGCAAACACTTGCCCTGTGGCCCCGGCTGGTGGTCAGATACGCACAACAATGGCCCTGACTCACCTGCGTGGCTCTGACCGCCTTCCTCCGCGGCACATTTGAAGTCCCGCACCGTGGCTGCACCCGGCCCGTAGCCCCTGGACTCCGCTCAGACGTCGGCTTCGGCCTGCGGACTTCCCCTCTTCCCGGAACCCGAGGCAGGTGCGTGGGATGACAGGTGCAAAGAGGAGAATGCCGGAAGCCTGAGCATGAGACGGCGGCCGGCTCCACGCTGCCCGTGCCTCCTGGGAGAAGGGTGAAGCCTCAGCGCTTGGGCCCGGCCAGCCACGTGGAAGACCTGGCCTGAGCACCAGCTCCTGGCTTCAGCCTGGCCCAGCCTGGACTGTGCACCTCTGGGGAGTGAGCCAGTGAATGCATGATATTCTCTCTCTCTCTCTCTGTTTCAAGTAGGTGAAAATAAATAAATGTGAATGTTTTCTGTCCACCTGCATGTACTCCACAGCCCCATGCAAGGTCACTCGTGCCTGAGATGACCTGGAGCAAGGTTTGCCTTTCTCGCCGTGGGGGTGGTGACACCTGCACCCTTCCACCTGGTCACCACGCGGCTGGCTGCCGTGGACGCCCTCGGAGGCAGCCGGTGGTCACCGAGCCCTGGATGCCGTCACACCTGTGGCTGTCCCAGAAAGCCAGGTAAGGAGGCAGACGCGTGTCGGAGCCGCTCTGCTGCAGGTGGGAACAGGCGCACGAGCAGGATGGGAGTGCCGGTGCACACGTGTGCGCACACACACACGTGGTGTGTTTTTCCCGTGCGCATGTGGGCGATTGTGGATTCACTGCCCACGGAGCCTGTGCAATCATCTCTTGGAGCAAACATGTGTGTCACAGCCACAGGGGACCCCACTGGGCGACTGCAGGAAAGCCTTGGGCAGACAGTCACTGTACCAGGGGTGGGTGAGGGGTGGGCAGTCACAGCCTCCAAGAGTCACACGTGCACGTTACCTGGGTCCGCCCACGCCGCCCCTCGGCCCATCGTGGACAGGCACCCTGTTCAGGTGGGACATTGTAGACAGAGAACATCACTCTGGACCGTGGGTAACGGAGCCAACGGGTGTCGCTCCAGCCCATGGGTAACTGTGCTGGCCACCGGCAGGAGGCACTGGAGGGACGTCTTGGTGGTGGCACCGCCGTGATCTTGAACGTTTTCTCCGCAGGACCGGGGCTTCTGTGAGGCTGTGGCCTTCCCTCAGCCGCAGCCTGTTCAAGGCACGGACAGTGGGGTCTGCCGTCTGCACCCCGAGCTCACGCCCCCAGTGCATGGAGGGCAGAGGCTGTGGCTGGTGTCGCCTTGGGTGGCTGGCTGGCGGGAAGTGCCTGCTGCAAACCAGTGGCCTCCACCCGTCCACAGGGCCTGCTCTCACCTGAGGGCTGGGCCACGTTGTCCCCAAGAGGGAAACCAGGTGCCAGAGAGGTCAGTTCTCAAAGCCGGCGAGGGCAGAGTGGGGCCCGGATGCAGCTCTTGCCGCTCTTTCCTGTGTGGGCTCCCCAGGAAGTGCAGGGCCCTGGGACACAGCAGGCAGGGGTGGGGCTGGGCCGGGCATGCCAGTCTCTGGGGAGCTCGACGAGGGAGCACACAAGGGGACTCCAGCCACCCCTGCCCCCACACACCAGAAGAGCCCGCTGTTCCCCACTGACCCCGTCCTCAGGCTGACTGGGATCTGGACGCTGGCTGTGCCCACAGCCTGGGCACCTGCCCTGGGCCACTCGGGTGGCCCTGCCCACTGTGTGGAATGCCCAGGGGGACACGTCCACACAGCCAGTCATCCAGCCGCTCTGCCTCTGCCCTCACTGGCTCATC